ATATATATATATATATATATATATATATATATATATATATATATATATATATATATATATATATATATAAACATATAATTTCTGCTCTACAATCTTCATATGAGGTCTAACCGGCAGTTGATCATCGCTAACGCAAATCCAACAATTCGCTATTTATCACTTGTCATGTAGCTTCGACCTAACAAATAATTGAAGAGTTGACGGTTCTTTGTATGAGCGATATAGTGATGATCATATAGCACTTACGGCTAGTTTGTTAACTGTAAAACAAAAACTGTAAGAAAGTAAGATAAAAGAAATTCGAGTATCGAGTAAACTTGACTTTCTGTGTTGCATGTTCTTGATCGTTTAAAGAGTCATTTTAAAAATCCATCCATTCAGGAAGATTCGTTTCTACCCAAGGTTGATACACAGAAAACAGTTCTGACATGGATTGAAACTGGTCTTACTTCGGAATTTACTGAAATTCGAATCAGAACACTGCAAGGATGTCTATTCCTGCTACAAGCAGTTGGTTTTGATGAGTTAAAGAATGTATTTCTTTTTTTGGAGTCATTTCTGATGAATGATCCGCAAAGGAGGTAAAAAATTTGATTATTGCTTGCACAATCTAGGAATTAAACCTTTTAAAGATTGATCCTGTCCTGTTGCCTTGGCTAATGTCGCTACGATAATTATTCTTTTAATTTTTCACTTATTGTTGATGGGTTTTTGAATGAAGTAAAGAAGGAGACACACCGTAGAATCAACACAGGATCAGCTTTTATCAATCAATACTGGTGATAGAATTAGGTTTCGTCGTAAGATTGATGAAATTCGAACTGTGCATTTTTGAAGTGATTGCGGACTATACGAATATGAAACGATATTGTGGACTGTAAGATTTTTCTTTTTCGACAACCCCACTTATTCTTCAGACAATTCACGGACTGCATTTATCAATGTAAGTTACAATAAGCGTATGGTAATCCTTTTTTTATGAACTTTATGAGTTAGTAGCACGTAGAGAACTACTAAAATTTGTTGCATCCTGTATTTGTATTCGTAGTGCTGTCCTTTAAAGCTGATCAAATATATCTTCAGATGATTTGTGAAAGATTTTTCGCACTTGCAACTCCTGGTTGGTTGATGAACTTAATATCTGTGGGTATTGAAAAACTAATCGTTGGTTCTCGAATATATGTGCTCACTTTCAGTCGTGTTGCCGTTCGTCAGTTCATATTCCTGTTTCTTTTATGGATTTATTGATCTAGTTTCCAAATTAGGAATTCTCTGAAATGATCACTTTCTTGGTTTACTTCATATAAAAATACTTAAACTACTTTACTATTGCTTTTAGAGGCGCTGGAAAATTATTTTTATGCACCACAAAAATTTTTATATGCACTTCGTATCTTCATTGCATGCTTGTATCGAGGCTTAGAAGAAGGAAAAGTACAACATTTGGGCACTCAGCCGTATGATCCACGTATTCATCTTATGGAACAACATGCTATGATATTTAGGATGTGAGTCTCCAAACTATGGTTGTTTTATGGTGGATGATTCGCTGTGCAAAAACCTAAAGCTATTAATTGGTTGAATTCTTACATCGTAAAAGTTAACGCCTGTTTTACAAAATTATTTGCTTCTAGAGTTTTTTGAGATCTTTTTTTTAGTTGATGAATTTCAGCACAATTCTGGTTCCTATTTTTTAGACTTGCGGAAGGTGCCGAAGATGATGCGTCACAATTAATGAAAGTATTACCGTATTTATTAATAGATTCGTTGAATCAAAGTGAACTTATAAACAGCATTCTGAAAGAACTAATCCACCGATATACAGGTCTCCCTCATCCACGCTCTGCGGCCATCTTTAGAATTATTCATTGTGTGAGTCATATTCCTCTTTTCTGATACATGAGTACTGCTTTTTATGACGAAATTGAATGATGAAAGATTTTTTTTATTTAAATTCATTCTATTTTGAAATTTCAGTTAGACTTTGACTTGAATTTTTTTAATTTTTCTAATGAATTATAAATTTTGCAGTGGTTTATCGTGCTGCATAGCCGTGAAACTGAGAATGTTGTATTGGAATGGACTCTAAATGGTTTAGACTCTTTTAAGTATGTAGCCGACCCTACACTATTCCGATTTTACGTCAGTGCATTTCTGTGTTCATCATCACCAAATCCGCGCATCGCTAATTTGTAATTATTCTCTTAACTTCATTGCTTCATTCTTTGCAGTTATATCTTTTTTACCTTCTTGAGTGGGTTAAATTTCATCGTATCTTTGCATTTTTTTTTCTTTTTTTTACATGATGAAATATTGCCGGAAACTTAGGACCAAATGAGGAAGTGCTCATAGTTTTTTTGAATATATACATAGCAGTTTGCTGAAGAGGGAAAAGCGTGTATAAGTTTGTGCTTTAATTCCGCAGAAATTTTCTGAACAGTTCGGCCAGGAATTTTCTTAAATGTAAAAATTTCATGCACCTCAAGTAGCAATATTTCTGAAATTTCATTTGCAGAAAAACATCATTTAGAGGTTCATTGTAGATTTTATCTTGTCATTGGACGCACATCAAATTTAGCTTGGATCGATGACTTCCTGTTCGAATTTTCAGTGCGATCTTTGCTTTTACGGGTTTGTTTGCTTTTTTAGTATTTTTTTTCTTTAATTTTCAATACTTTTTTTTAGTAGTAACACTACTTCAAATTATTAACAGTTTTTGCAGTTTGTAGTACTTCAGCTAGCTTTCATGCTGTTTTTTCTGTATTTTGAAGTTTGGTATAAGAGTTCCAAGTTTCGGAAACCGGTTTCTTAAGCAACTGTCAGTTCATGTGAAGAATTGTTCATTGAGGTATTACTAACTTTGCTTTAGTTTCGAAGCAAATGTTTTTTTTTTTTTTCATAATTATCCTTACAGATGAAGAAGGATGCAAGAAATGGATTAAAAGTGTCAATGGAGAAGTTTGTATTGAACGGAAAAACATGCCGAGACCCAAGAAGAATAGCTTCTTTTCCACGGCTGTAATTCATTTTGCCTGGATATTTGAGCTTCAGGTTTGGATCTTTGATATGTAATTCTGAATACTGATTTTATACCGACAAGGAAGAAGGCGTTTATGGTGACATAATTTTGTTAATCCGAATTTGCACCTCTAAGATATCTTACCAAGCTACAATGCTTCATTTCATGAATATTCTCTCTTTTACGAATCCATCATGTAACTAATTCCATGCATTGTGAATTTACAATATACCGTTTAGTATGTTTTGTACTGTGACTTGATTGTGGTTAGCTTTCCTTACCTTACTTTTTTCCGACACTTTTTAATGACAGACATATCGACTTGTGACACGTTGTTATATTGTTTTATTATCACGAATTGCGGATGCACTCATTGTACAATATTCTAATAAAAACTGATTTGTATAAAATAAGCAAATGTGTGGGACTTTCTTTGCAAATATTGAAAGTGCGACAAAATTTATTAAATAATATCGCAACAATGACCAAAATGAGAGTGTGTCACCCAGAATGACGCAAGCCTAAGTCTCCATATTGTCTATCTACCTTTTGCAACAAGTGCTGTGCTTACTATTCCATTGTTGCTTAATTGCTTCATTGCTCATTTCTACGATTTCAAGGTGTATGCCTCGAGAATAGGCATGAGGGTCCCTTACATTATTTTGTACTTACAGGATATGCCGTTTAAGGAATGTTTAAGAAAGTTTCTTCCAGCACGCGCTTCTGCGTGTTGGAAGGGAATCGAGAGAGGAGCTTCGACATTTGGACAACATTATTTCGATGCGTTGAAGGAGGTTACGTCGGTCCTGAGTAACTTTGGCCAAACAGATAAGGCACGGATTTCAATATAAGTGACGCGTGAATGAATGACTTGATGACGACACACTTTGCAGAAGGGTTAGGGGAAGTGAAGATACAAATGATTATCGGTGATAAGCCCACAAATTGAAATAATCATGTCGAGGTAGTAAGTATACAGTATATAGTATACACTCCCAGTATACATGTACAATGGAGAATTCCACTGGCCGTTTGTCCAGGTAACGAATGATCATTACTTGAGGTAGTAACGGTGTTCAACTGCCCGAGAAATTCAAGAATTATTGTGAGAAGTCTGGGAGGACCCGAAATATGAATCATGTGCTCCCCAGTTTAGTTGATTTTTGATGTCTTACAATCTTACGAAGTAATGGGAGAGAAAAGTTTAAGGTGGGTGGGGGTAAGTGGTTGATCGTCGGCCGCGTGATAACGTTTGCAGCAGTTGGCAGGAGGAAGCGTTATTGATTGTACCGGCTGGCCGGTTGTTGTTAAAGCCTTCGGGATGGGAGTAAAGTGTTGTTGTATCACTGCCGACGACGACATAGGCGAAACTGGGTGTACGTTGTGACAGACATACATCCACACGGATGGGAAGAGAGGGAGGGGGACATTAGTAAACGTCCCAACATACTGAGTTTGACAGAGACATATACACTCTTTCACGCACGCTATCTCTTTAGAAGGTTTAATATAGGTTCATTCTTTGTGATACGTAACTTTGGGACGTAATCACTGCAGTCTTGGAGGTTTTGTTGGTCGTGAAACGTTCGACGACTTTAAATGGCACAGCGTAAGTTTGTTTTTAGCAGAATTCATGACTTTTATCCAGTAGCAAATAATAACAGTATAGAATTTTAAGGGAAAATTTGTTGGTTTTGTTGTAAAAGCAATGTTCAGGGAGGATGAAGTAGGGATGAATGTCAGTCGTAGTCTTTGTACTGTAGGAGCTGCGTCATATTACAGTTCTGCCCATTAGTTCATTTTTTATTTCTAATTCACCATACTCATGGCATGCTTCCTGACCTTATTCATGCAACTGCAGCATTGAACGATGTCTGAAAGTTATTGGTTTGGTCCCCTGCGATAGTACATTTCCATGATGACTCATAATGGCAGCTGCAAATATTTGAATCATATCACTATGTTGTCCAACGTGTTTCTTTGATATGTTGAAGTGGACATAACTGTTAGGCTACGTTAGTCTTTTTGTTGGTATTTGACGGTCATTATTTAAAAAAAATAAAGGAAATATTTGATATCAGTCAGTAGCACTTTTTAAATGCATGCTAACAGTTCGAGACATGCCAAGTTGCTTTACATATTTTGTTTTCGTATGATATACATTTCCGTGCTTTGTCGAGTTTTGTTTGTTGACAGAACACTAAGACGGACTCAGACTACTTGTTGAAAAAATTGGGCTTTATACTACGAGACATTAGCCGCAGAACCCTTGAAACCTCTTAATATAAAAGCTATGTGACTGGAAAGGAATAGAGGAAAAAAAAAGGATAGAGATGTATTCGAGTTCGGAAGTATTATATAATTGTCCTTATGTAAATTCGAATTTTACACCATCATAAGTACTCTGAAGTTCTAAGTTTACTTAATCTTATCCATTTATCCGTCAGAGAGGTTTTTTTTTTCTCATTCATTTCCTTATTTTATAGCCCTGCAATATCTTAAGTAGCTGAGATCGAAATATTTTTTTTTAATGTGTCTTTAATTATATTGCGGATGGAAATACTTCCAGTACTAACATTATTTCGTGACGGAGTCTTTCCTGGAATAATCTTTTCTTGGTAAGTAATTATATTTTACATCTCACAATAATTCAATATCCGACCTACATATTTTAGGCCGAAAAGTTCCTGAAGGTGAACTCTGTGCGGTATGTTCAGATCTCGCAACAGGTTATCACTACGGTGTGGCAAGCTGCAATGGATGGTTAGTGTTTCTGTATTGTTTTTGTTGGAAATTTTACCTGCAGGATTTTTGCGATTTTTTTGGTGATGTTTGAATAGAGTATGTTTTTTACGCATACGTAGCTTACCTTTACTTTGGTTACATAGCAGAAGCTAAACAATAAAACGTTTCTATGTCTTTTTTTTTTTTAAATATGTGTACTTCCGTGTACTTCAGCAAAACATTCTTTCGTCGTACCATTGTATCAGAGCATACGTTTGTTTGCCAATACCAGGGTAACTGTGATGTCAACAAAAGTAAGTTATTATATGTGTAAGAGAATGAAGTTGTACTTTCTGTTGTACTATACAGAATATTTGTTAATAGCTTCTCTTAAAGAAATGTTATCAATTCTTTTTCTTTTTTTTGTTTTTCTTTGTTACTCATGCATTACAGTTTCTGACAGCAAGATTTTCTTAAAGATTTGCTGATTAATGTTAATTCTGTAGACATTCGCTGTGCCTGTCGACATTGCCGCTTCAACAAATGCGTTGCTGTAGGAATGGATGCCAAAGGTTTGTCGTTCATTTTAGCACTTATTGTTAAATGTATTTAGTTATGTGATTTTACTAGATTATGGCATATTTGGTATAATCATGTGAGAGGTGCTTCAGTACAAATATAAGCAGCGTTTCCTTCTTTCTCTTTAGTTACTAAAATCCTTTTTTTTAGCGATCCAGAATGATCGCGACCGTATCGGGCCAACCAAGAAAATGAAAATGAGTAACCAAAATTCTGAAGATGATTGTGCAATTCATATTCGTTCAGCAGAAGAAAGGGTAAAGCATACTTATGTTTTATTATTGATGTTGCATCTTTTGATTAGTATTCTTCACGTATTGGTGTGATCAGTTACCAAGAGGATTGTAAAAATTAATTGTTTTTGTAGCTGATAGAACGTTTGTTGGCGATTGAAAAACTGTGCATGAGGTTACGGCAATGTGTGCTTCCTGAAATCAGTGGACTTAAAGAAGCCGTTTGTGAACCCTCACTTGTTAACGAAGTGAATAACCTCAAAATAGATGTTAGTTTTTACAATAGTTTAGTCAGGATTCCGTATGATTTTGACTTTCACAATGGTTAAATGTTTTTTTTAGGATTCAGTGATTTGTTGTTTGTTGCTTCAAAATAGTTGTTCATACTATTTATAGCACTCTTTTCCTTATTCAGCCATATACAAACGCGAAGGAATTGTACATTGCAACACTAAAAGACATACAAATGTGGAATAAACGAGAAATGCGAGTGGGTCTAGAATGGGCAAAAACCTTTGATTTATTCAGTCAGCTGTCTTTGGATGATCGAGTAAATTCATTTTTTTGGCTTTCCATGATTATTTTCATTGTTACTAACGTTTTATGGGTGGTATTTTAACTTGTTTTGCAGGGAAGAACAAAAACAAAGTCAAATTTTGTGAATCATGTAGTTACTTCAGATTGCACTGATAAAGAATTTTGGATTTACTTTCAATCTTTTAAATCGAAATTATTATGCACCTGACCACGGTGTGGATAAATTGGTATTGCCTAATGGTGCCTACATTCGACGTCAAGTTCAAAATGAAGTAAAGTTGCCTGGTTGTAGGTTGGTTTGCAATACAAGTTTGATTCCATTTTGTTTAACCCCATATTGTTTGTTTGTTCATCTATGAATGCTTGGTATTATTTTTTCTTAACAAATTTTGGACTTCTGAAGGATTTCTTATATTGCATCATAGGTCAATTTACCACCGACAGATGGATGAGATTATGATTCCATTCAGACAGTTGAAAATCACCATGCCCGAATTCGCGCTGTTCAAAGCTAGCGTCTTCTTTAACCCGGGTTTGTTTCATTAATTTATTGCTATGCACTGCTGACATACTTCAGATACTTTCATACATCATTTGTTTTAATTTTCAGATGCAATTAACCTTTCGCCTATAGCAAAATCCCAAATTTATGCCGAAAGATCAAAGTATTTGTCAGCACTGTTTTATTTGATAACTTCGAAATGTGGAATAACTATGGGTGCACAAAAGTACGGCAGTTTGCTTATGATGGCCTCTTCAGTACAGGTAAGTATTTCCCAGAGGTAACTAGGTGGCCGTTGTCATTTTAACGGGAGATACATGTGCTGATTAAAATTTTTATTCGTTTTAGAACATAATTGCTCAAAACGAGGAAAATATGCAGGTTATGGATTTCTTTGAAGAGAACTGGAAAATGGATAATTTTGTTAAAGAGGTATGTTTGAAAGATCCATGAATTACCGATATTGAGAAGATTGAGATGTGTGTACATTTATACCTGTTTATTCGAGTTTTTGGCGGTGTATTTCTGTCTAATTTCTATTTTTTTTTTAACGTGTTATTATATTTGTTGATTTTACACACCGATTTTCAAATGTTTATATATTAATATTTGTTCAATAAATGACCTGCCCGTTAATGCCATAGAACTTCCTTTAGGAAGATTGTACTTGTTTTTTTTTTTTTTGTCCTTTCATTTAGAGCTACTAGAATTATGATAGCCGTGCCATACACATTATTCTCTCATAAGTTTGGCATAGATATGTACTTGTTTCTTGAATGTGATTGTTTGTTTTTTGTTGCTTACTAAATTATTTGATTTTTTACGGTGATATGCTAATATGTGTAGGAATTAATCAGGAATTTTCGGTGAATTTCGTATCTCTCTTTTTCCTTGCTTTCTTAGTCATGCCTTGTACTGAGTGAAATGCCAAGGATGTAGATTTTCGGAGATCTCGTCATCTGGTAAATGGACAAAACTAAAATGATTTGTAAATATGAAAGCGTAAAAGAAAATAAATATGGTATATGCCACCAAATGTAGTAATAGCAGCATAATAAAGTTCTGCTTCCATTTTACTGAAAACATCCATTTAACTTTTTGTATACATTGTTTCTGTGGGTTGGCTTTCTTTATACTGCACATAGCAAGTGTAATGGTAGAGATAGGATCGATTTATGTAGATGGCTGATGTTGGTTGTTATTGTATTTCGTTTCTGGTGTTTGTTTGTGGGGGGGGGGGGGGGACATGTGATAAGAATATTTTCTGGAGAATAAAATTTGGATGTATGTGGAAAGATGAGTGGGGTTTCCTAACTAAACAGGTCGATACCAATCGCAGTTGCATACTGTTAAGTAAGCAGTTGGCAAGGTGTGAAAGATAGTGGAATTACGATAGAGCACTCATCTGACAGTTCTGTTTCTTTTTTTCTTTTGATTCAAAAATCACACGGGATGAAAACTGTTCTTTTTCTGAATTATGTGACAAATGTGGTGATTGAAGGAATGTTGGAAGTTTGATGCATCGAGTCTAGTTTTGCCACTTGTTAGTAGTTCTAATGGAAGGTTTGGAGATGCCTGGCTTCCTCTCTTTTATTGTGCTTTAAGGACATGTCTAATTCATTGGCAGATGGTATTCTGTATAGTTCGAGGGAATGCAGAAAAAAGAGATTCCAACTATACCTATTTTAATAAAACGCCAAAAGGATGCAACCAAGTACAGGATGAAGACTAGTTTGATTAAAATACAATTGAAATGAAATGGTAGAGAACGACATGACTTATTGGGTTGGATAGATCACTGGGACACCTACGATATATCTTTCTTCAGAAGACTGGACTTTGTCAAGAAGGCTGATATTATGGTATTTCTTCAGAAGGTCGGTATTCAACCCTGTCTCTATGCAGTTTTCGCACAATCAATACTGACCTTTATATATTGATATATTGACGGATTGTCTTGGTGTGTAGCCGGATTTGTAAGAAGGAATGATGGTAAATGAAGATAAAAATATAAGTGTAGTGATGTTCGTGGAAAAATTATTGGGTAGGTTGTTGACATCATCACCCACCTTTCCCCTTTTTGTTTTCCTCATTACCTTTGTGTCGAATTTCTTTTTCTTGTAACATTTGTTCTTCTAGTAACGAAAAGTGTGCGTACCGCAAGATTCATCTCATCTTTAACACTGATTTTTGATGTGCTAGGTTCTGGTCTTTGGCTGATCAGTAGCAGTCATTGATTGCACATTTCTTTCGAAGTTTTATTAGTAAGAGTAGCTTATTAGAGACCTTAATTATTCCCTCTATTTCGTGTTATTTAAAATCAGTTTCAAGAGCGCAAGTGAAAATGATTGAAATTTGGCCTTCCTATTTCAGTGTTTGTTTGCCCTTCATTTATTTATTATTATTTACGAATTTATTCAATTCATTCTTGTCCATTTTTGAGTTCGTTAATTGTGATGAGAACGGATGCAAGCTTGTACAGAGACCATTAACACGAAATTTCTTTTCTAGGGTGTAAGTACAACAGACAAGCAAAATTGATCACCAAGTCATCTAAATTATCGGCTAGCTGCGATTTATTCTTTGTGTTCATTCAGCAGCTTCGCAGTAAACGTGACACTCTATTTGCATTATGAACAATCGACTAAAAAATGGTATGATGGACTGGTTTGAAATCGTTAGTAAGGCAGGCGGAGAAGCTGCATGGGTTACACAACAAAAAACCTTCCCAAAAAGGAATGGCAAACGACAAAAGCCGAAAGATTCAAATGAAATTATAGAAATAATTTTGAAAACAGAATCAATTCAGGTTACTTTTCATGGTTGAAGTCCGTAGTGAACTTAGTCACCGTCTCATTGAACTTAACCGTCGGTTCTTAGTAAGTTTTTCTTTCTAAGGTCCATTCATTATTTAGAGAACAGATCAAGTACAGTTTAACTTGTTTACTAGTCCATGGAAAGTGCTGATCTTTGTATGCTAACCCATCCATAAACTATTCAGAGTGTTATAAAAGAGGAGTGTTCAAAACGGAATACTACGATGAAACTGTTATCTGATGAAGCAAGGCTAATATTACGCAGTATAACGCATCAAATGCAGTTGTTAGTTATACGATCAGTTGGGTATGTGATTGCAAAAACAATCAGGGTACGCTATTCTTTGAATTTGATTTTGCAATTCAATATTGGGAGATTAGTATGAGACTTCACCATCATTCTCTTTCGAAGAACGGCAGATAGCGAGTCTGGACTGTGTTATCTACCTAAGGCTTACGTTTCTTATATGGCATCTTTATCAGATGTTATTGATTTGACTATCATGTGATTCGATCAATTTTTTGCTCGTCAATATTAGATGTTTTAGTTTTTTTTTATTTTGGTTTTTTGTTTTAGTTTAGTTTTAGTTTTTTTCTTTTTTTTTTTTTGTATTTTGCAAACAGTTTTGATCTTATTAAAGATAATATATGATGGTGTCTATTTCAATGATGAACAGTTATCGCGAATACAGGAATATTCCGTGGATGATCCCATTATTTTCATGCCAACACACAGGGTATTTATCGGATCTTTTCAAATCTAATTAAAACTTTTTTTAAACTTCATCTTATACTTACCGATTTTCAGAATCCTCCTTCAAGACATCTTTTGCAGAGTTATATGGATTTCTTGATTGTTTCTCTTCTTTGCTTCAATCATAATTTGTCACTACCAGTCGTTGCTACTGGGATGGATTTTATGGCTTCAAAATTTCTGGGTGAAACTTTACGCCGCTGTGGATCCTTCTTTATGAGACGACAGTTTGGAAAGGTTTGCATATCTCAACTCTTCATTTTATATCAGAATATGAAATCTTTGGTTCTTGTTGTGGAGTTCATCAACAAATTAATGATAACTGGTAAACTTATTTTTCGTTTGATTTTTTTAAAGCTATTATACTGTTGTAGGACAAACTGTATTGGTCACTGTTCAGTAGTTATGTGCAAATGCAACTACAGGAAACGGATAATCCGGTTGAATTTTTCTTAGAAGGCACCCGCAGTAGATCAGGCAAAAGTCTTTATCCGAAATTTGGTTTGCTACAAATATGCATGGAACCATTCTTTCAATGTCGTTTATATGATTTGGTTGGTTTTAGCTTCCTTTATGAAAGTGATTTCTAAATTACTATGATTGTGTTTAGTGCCAAATATTCTCCATGGATTGCAAATGTCCGTGTTGTAGTTTTGGAGTTTTTTTCTCTGAAAATCATTTCCTTTAATTAGTTGTTCAGATTGTTGTTCCAGTTACCATCAATTATGATAAGGTTTTGGAAGAATTTCTGTATGCATACGAACTTTTCGGCTTTCCGAAACCACAAGAGACGACAACGGGTAAATTTTACGATTAGAATACCGATCGTCCTTGCAGTGTGCCAAAAGTCATATATTAATTTATAGGGCTTTTCAAATCGCGCGAAATTCTCAACAAACATTTTGGTCATATTTATGTGAATTTTGGTGAACCAATCTCTGTACGAAAATATTTCGAAGGAAGGATAAATCGCTGGCACCCACCTTGGCAGGTATAAATGCGGACATCTTGACACGTTTTCCAAGTGAATGAATACTGTGTTCTGCAGTGAGCTGAACATTCAAAAAGATATTCGGGTGTGACTATGAATGATAATGTTTTAACGTGAAAAAGTGATCTCTCTTTACCTTTAAAATTTATGCAAACATGTGTTATAAAATGATTATCCTTTAATTTATATAGTTTAGGTTAGCTTTATCAGGAGAGTAAGATTGCTTAGGTTTGCTAATTCAGATGTGTCAAGTCTTAACACATTTGGAATTTATCACATCAAATAGCTGTGCACTTTACATACGGTGGTTGTAATTGCTCATTCTGCTAACATTCTGGTGAATCGTTCTCATCATAAGTATCATTTCTATCACTTGCTTTGTAACTTGATCAACATTACATTTTATACAATCCTTACAGACTAGTGTGGGCAATCAATTATCAAATAAGGAAAAAGAAGCAATTAAGGGCTTCGCGCTGCACATAATACACCTACACAATTTAAATAGTACAATAACTATTTGGCCTTACACTTGTGCTATCTTGTTACAGGTATTTTTTAAATTCTTTGTATTCTTCGATTACTTGGTTTTTATTCGCAGGCTGGACTTTCAGTAATTCAGTATACTTCTTGTCCATAGCTAATAAACAGCTTTCATTCAATATTTCACTTGTAGATGAAGAGCACAGGTCATCAGAAGTTGATATTCAATAAGCTACAGAGTTCTTTGGAAGACTTCGTTGCACTGATTACAAAAATGGGACGTCGAATTATGATCAGAAGAAGCATTGCGGATGATTTGAGGTTTCCAGCCTATATCACCGTTATTCATAATACTAGACTAATTAAGTTAAAATAGCTTGTGGTGCAAGTACTAAGCTTCTTATAGACTTCTTTGAACATATATACATAACTAATATTCTGTATTCAAGTGATAACACTTAACCTCTCTGTGCTATTCAATCTTTCTATGCCCATAACATGGAATTAAAGTAAAAAACTTCCTTGCAGATATCATTTGAAATTGCACTCCGATCTGTTCCAGTGTGACACTTTCTTTCCTAATTCACTAATAGAAATGAAGAGATTCAAATGCGTCGAAAATAATGGTTTAAAGAAGAATTATATGGAAGAAATGTTGTGGGAAGTGATCCTGTCATATTATGCTAATCAGGTAAGGTACTACAGCTATGTTAAGAAGGCTGTTTCAAGCGTGTGGAATATGTATATGACACATAAAGGTGAAGGATGATATGCTAATAAAGAAAGTTCCTGGTGCTGCTGGACTCGATTCTTGCCATCGAGAAGTGTATTCTGTTGAATTAAGGATTAGTCCATTAAACATTTGTTCATATTTTGATCAAGTCTTTTATTGGACAATGCGGATTAAGTGTGTTGCTTTGCAGAATAGCTCTCAATTATTTGAATCACAGATTACATCGAAGTTTAGTGTTTTCAAATATTTGTACAGTTATTTCACCATTGGGACTTAGTTTTTCGCAGGTCTGGAATGATGAAATTATAAATAATCAAAATATTTCTTCCAATGGAAATTCCATTGTTTTAGATCAATTTTTAGTCACCAATTAAATAAATTGAATGAGTAAGTTGAACGTAGGAAGAAGGCCATATAAACATTTGTCAGAAATTTTAGTTCTACAGGGCAGTACTACTTATCACAAGAAGTATCGTAAGCTGGAAATCTTTAAATTTGCTTGTTCTCATACTGTACGGCTGCTTGAAACGCAGTTAAAAAAAATTTTTGAATGGTCAAAGAAGTTGAAAGATCGCAATGTTCATTGTGTTGTGATTATGGTGAATGATCTTTTCCAAATTTCGTAGTTTGTTGATGGTTACAGTTACCACACCTTAGATACTTTTTTTGTAGATGATGCATGATTTTGTCGACATAAGCCTGCTGTGCCATGTGTTGTTGTCCATTCAAGTGCTGTCAAGAGCAAGTCACATATTCCGGTACTATTAATGGATTGTTTGTTGGTATTAAGTGGCGAATGAGAAAAAAGTTATGAACGGAAAAATAAAGAAGTCTTCAACCAAGATGGCGATAAATGTTGCCTCCTTATCTACATACTCGACTTCATTCGTATCATTTTTACTTTTCAGGGAAGTTAGGTCATTATTTGTTTACGAATTCGTTTGTTCATTGCAAGAAGAAGAAATCGATAAGTTGTTCGCAAAGAGTCTCAATGCTTTGTTGCGGATTTCAGCTGTTTCACTGAATAATGATCGTGTCATCGTAGAAGAGAAACAGATACTGAAACAGATTGCTTTCTTTATGCAGGTAATATTAACTACAAAAATTAAAACTAAAGGTAGGCTCAGACTTCACCAATTAGTACTTCAACTAATGATGCTGTTGACAATGTGTCTATTATCTGTTAATTTCATTTCCTTTATCCTGTATTGCATTTTACTCCTACTACGCTTTAGGCGTCGCATTTACATTTCCCTCTAAACATTTTCCAAAAATTGTTACAAGCATGTATTTTTTTCAGCCACACATTGCCAGATATTATTGTGTAATGCAGTCTTTGGTACAGTTGGTGGGTACTCAATTCACAAATGAAGTGCTTTTCGAAGAATCGCTACAGCTTGCTGTAAATCTTTTTGCTGGGCAGCAAGGGAACAGCAAGCCCCAGTCAGTCTGTATCACATCGGATGTAACTCGGAATGCATTATCAGCATTTTGTAGGTTGCAGGTTACTTGCAGACGGGTAAGTTTACTACTGAAACAGTCATGAAGGTCGCTTAATAATTTTAAGTTTTTATCCTATTAACCGCCTTATAAGCAAGTTCTTAATATTGATAAGCACGGGAAATTCTAACCGTTTCAAGGACTTGATTGAAGTGTTGCACCGGAACAATTCGTCTGATTCATATATAGATGTTTAAATGCTGGAAGAATTCGCAGATAATAATACAATATCATGGAGAAATGAAAGGGAAATTTTCCAGAGTGAAAGGGAATATGATGTTAATGTTTATCGCGTGCAAAAAATGATGAGACTTCTGGAAAGCATCAGTATGGCCGAACTTCCTTTTGATAACAACTCGTTTGTTTCAAAGATTTAATTAATTTGCGAATAAAAATTTGAAGCATAGCATCAGTGGCTAGCACAGCTGGATATTTTAAGGACTGGAAGTACTTCTTTCTTCTTCTTGTCTATTATTGCCGTTATCTATTTTACACTACCTTGTTTATACAATGAAGTACTTCTTACGTTTCACGTTCCTGTATAATGCGTCAGTTTAGTGATTTCCCGCTTTGTCCCACATTCTGGATCACTGTTCAAAATGAGTAACTTCGGTATTTCTCACACTCCCAGTCAGCATATGTATGGAGTGCTTTCAGCCTGTCTGGATGTTGAACTTATTTTGTACACTGGATTTGATAAATGCTTATTTTGACAGCTGAACTTACATTTATTTGAATACTGATATCGAGCACCAAATCCATTAATCAAGTGAGCAATGTATGACCCCGCAATGTGACGAAGGACGAAGTTTTTCAATCGCCGGTAGAAAAACGACTTAGTCTCCGAGTGGCTCTTCTGTTAGTGAAATGGCCCGTGTCAGAAAATGAGGCAATCAGACAGTATTGCTGCGGTTTACTGGGTTGCGCTGTGTGAATCAGCATTGAGGCGGGAAGTTTCAAATTGTCAAGGATTGGGATTGGGTGCCGCCTGTTTTTGTTTTGGCTTTGCTGTTGTGTATGGTTTATGGTGGGTATTATATTAGTTGATGCTTTATAGTCTGTTGGGCATCGACTACTACGATAAGTCCCAAATTTAGCAAGTCAATGAAGTCAAATCGAAATTTTGAAACCAATTAAAAATATCGCTTACAAAGTAGGGGGAGAATTTTTATAATCTGTGCATATAATTTAACATGAATCAAGGAAAAATCTCAGTAGTCTCCAAGTAACGTATGTCTTATTGCAGCTGTTGAAATGGTGCGAACCAAAGCGGGTGTGCGGCGATACGATGTGTCTTCTAGTTCCTCAAGGAATAATTTAACTGTTGAAGGTATTTCGCCTGTACTGTATAGTTATTGTTATGATTGGAACTTTGTATTGATTTTTTTCGAACCACTTGAGTTGTCCCATTATTTTCAGCTTTTAATGGAGGCATGCAACTTCGTTATTTCTCAGTGTGGGCACTGTAGTCTAATGTGCGTTGCTTTTAATAGGTCATCCGACGGGAATTTTGAAACCTTTCTGTATCTTCTCCATGTATTGCATAGAAGGTTTCTAGCGAATTTATTATTGGTTTATGCAAGGCTTCGTAGTTTACTTTTATCATTTTCATCTTTTTTTTTGTATATTCCGTATTTTTATGTATATTCCAGATTTCGTATTTCCTGCAACACATCATCGAAATATCTCTTCGGAACTCCAACATATACGAGGTTAGATTTTCCATCGTGGTCTTACTTCAATATAAAGGTTAAAGCAAGAAGTGATAATGTATCGAAAACAAGTCAAAACCAAAAATGGAAAATGATGTCTTGAAAGCTGATGTGCTTGTTTTCCAAAAGATCTGGATTACTAATCAGCTTAATAACGGTTTTCGTTTTTGACAAATTATCTGTCTCAATTGATAAATCATTATAAATTAAGCAAACTGTTTTTTTGGTGCTAGGACTGATGGCTTTTTTTTCTTTTTTTGTAGGATGTGGAAAGGACCGGAAAAAGGTAATCAGTGAATTTGAAGAAGGCCTGAGTCGCAGTGGTGGGCATCCTCGATATGGTTGTAAAGCTATGCATGACTCGAAAAAGCGTTCTCAACCCTACAGGCATATTTTCGATTTTTTTAATTTTGATGTATCTGTAAAATGAAAGGTGAGTCATTTTTCATTTCATAGTCACTGGTTGGATAAGTTAAAATTCCAGGCCAGGCGTGAGAGTGCTTAAGGAAATCCGAAAATATCAAAAATCGACGAAGCTGTTGATCAGAAAGCTGCCCTTTGCCCGTCTTGTTAGGGAAATTGCAAATGAAATGTCTGATTCTTCTGTTGGGTACCGTTTTGCAGTGGAAGCGATCGCTGCACTTCAGGAGGTTCTTTGCATCTTCTAGATTAATTTCTAACGGAGTAATATTTTCTCTTTCGCATTAAGTAAAGGACCAATTCGAATTGGTCTTTAGATATACTATTTACTTTTGTAAATAGTATATCTAAAAAGGGTTTACCTGTAATTCTTTGCTACAAATAGATGGGTTCTTCTATTTAGGATAATGGCCGCTAATACTTACCTGGAAAGCATGGAAATTTTTAGCTAAGCAGTGTAATAAATTCCTATAATAAATTCAAATAATTGCCTCATTCATGTATAAACTTAACGTTTTATACTATGTTTCAACGTATAAAAATGCTACTAATTTTGGTAAACAAATATGATATGTAATGAGTAATACAGCATATTGGTTTTCATTGTGCGGTCTTTGGGATCGAAAGTCTTCGCCAAGTGAGACCAATTTTTAGATATCAACTACTTTTTAGATATCAGCTACATAATTTAGCAATACCGCTTTTCAGATTCATTTATTTGACTGGAATGGAAGATATATCTGTTCATTTTATGAGCTTCCAAATCATTCCTATTTTTATTTACTGTAGGTCCTGCTGAAATACATTTAGATAACTGTCGTTTCAAAATTAGGTCTAGTCAACTTCTTATCGCTTCCATTCTTGTATCAAACATAAGAACAAAGAAGCTTGAAAGTACTAATAAGGTGAAAGAACGCGTCGATGTTGAAGTGAATATAAATTAGCTCTGACAAAAGTGATTCTTTTTCCATCATATCAAAAAGATTTTATTTCAGGCTGCAGAAGCTTTCATGGTCCAATTTTTTGAAAACGCTCTTTTGTGCAGTCAGCACGCTAAACGGATAACAGTAATGCAACGCGATGTTCAACTCGTTCGTCGGTTGTTCAATATTTGAGAGCAAAATAAAACAACGCCTTTTTTTTATCATCGTACGTGAAGTTGAATGTTTGAAAAAGTGTCGTATGAATATTTCCCGAACGTATGAAAACATAACGTAATTTATTTTCCCGTCTGATTAGTTTTTTAATATTGCTATTTTAGTGTGTTCACTGTGCATTAGCAACCTTATAGTCTTCATATCTTCCATCTCTTCCTTTTGTCTCAAAGGTAACCATCAGATGATGTAATTCGTGAGTACAGTAGTGCGAAGTACAACATGTGCAAAGGCAACAAAAAATTATGTTTTAAGTGGGAGAAATGTCAAAGGATCATAAGTCATCTGGAATGTTTGGAAATTGTGTTTATTATATAATATATAGAATTTCATGGTTATAACATTTTTTTGCTTTTTGTATGTGATGATTTCCATTTTTTTTTCTTCGCATTAAGCAGTGGAATGTTTCATCATAACATTTTATCTTACTGAAATAAAGGTAGGAAAGTATGAGGAACTGGCAAGACAAAAGCCGAAGAGGGAATACCATGAAAAAGCTCGCATACTGTTTTGTCCTTTCCAGACATTTTAACTGTATTATTTTTGTGTTGGTTTATGAAATATTTTTCGAAAAACCAGTGTAATGAACTTGTCACTAAGATTATGATTGTCTATTTTGGCTTGGTGACTTCCCTTGGCTAATATCAGGTATACACAGTAAAATCTTGTTACTTCTAAAACAATTTCACATTTATAGTCAGTTAAATCTTAGCTTTGTCCGATAGTACTAATTTATAGTTAGTTTAAATTACCGAACATTGAACTAAGGTATAGCAGCGAAGGTACTATCATAGTTTTAAAAAGTGATGTCCTGATAGGTTTTCTCCTTTGGGTCTGTGGTTAATATGCAAAAGTTGATATTCAGCTTAAAATTTGTTGTGGGGTGTAAGATCAGATGCCTACATGTATTTATGTAAAAGAAGTACTATCGGAAATATTTCATGAGTAAATCAGTAAAAGAAGTACTGTAAACTTCTTTTACTGATTTACTCATGAAATATTTCTTCAAGCTGATTTCCAGCGCGAAAAGCTCAGCAGCCTCTGTAAAGGCAGACAGAGCTGCTCCTGTCTGAGCAACGAGGGCGGCATCGTCAGCAAAAAGCAGTTGGCAGACAAGGTGTGATTTGGGGTCTTGGTATAAACATTCACCCGCTTTAGGTTTTTGAATAGGTTTCCATCGGTACGGTACGGGATGCAAGTGTTTTCTTCATTGAGGTCTGCTGTGGCCCTTTGGAGCATCGTACTAAAGAAGACTGTGAATGGAGTGGGTGAGGATGCAACCTTATTTCACATTTCCTTATTGGGAAGGGCTCAGAGATAGCCATATCTGACTTGGGCAAGCTAATCCTCATGTAACATTTTGAGGAACTTGGGGAGACATCCTAGTCGTTCCAAATTCTGCCACAGGCCTTTTCTGCTTACAATGACAAATGCTTTGTTGGGGCCAACGAAAGTTACGTAGGATCCTTTTCTGTTCACTACACTTCTGCAGTTGTCTGAGAAACATATCATGTTTATGGTACTTCTGCTGATTCTAAAACGGCATTGGCTTTAAGTAGATATTTTCCTGCGATAATGGTACCAATCTGTTCAAAAGTATTCTTGCGAATGCTTTTAATTACGGAGATGTGGTAGTTCGCTTTGTTCTGAGCAACGCATAATGAGCTCATAAAATTTAGCATGGAGTGCTTGCTTCCATACTTCCAGAATTTGGATGGCATTCCATCAATCCTTGCCAGTTTTTGCATGTTTCATGGCCTTAAGAGTCTTGCCCATTGTACGGGCTATATCCAGTTTCGGTTTTTCACTGGTTGTTGTGTAATACGCTGAATTGCTAAGCCTTGGACTGCACGGAAAAGAGTCTGAAAATGTTCATCGATTTAAGATGAAGGTTCTATCTGTGAGAAGCATTTGGCCATCTGCGCTGAGGAAGAAGCTTTGGACCTGATGCGACCTGATGTGGTGTGGTCCTTTGGACCTGATGTAGTCCACACACTTCTTTTCAGAGCTTCATAGAATCCTCTGTGGTTTTCCAAACCTGTGTATAGTTGAGTTTTCTGCTAGTCTGATCACTTGTTCTAGATGTTTCGAAATTCCTCTTGGAGATTACTACATGCAAGACGAAAGGCTGCTTTTCTTACATGGCAAGATCGCTGAACGAGATCTGCTTGGCAAGATCTGCTTGACGCGCAGTTCTCTTCTTTGTCAACAATTCCTGCATTTCTTAATTGCTTTCATCAAACCAATCTTTGTTTTTCTTGAAGAACTCTAAGGATTCTTCAGAGGATTGAAGGATGTTATTTTTAATATGTTGCCAAAGCTTTTCAGGCGAGGGACCCATGGGATGATCTTCAGAGGGTTAGTTTGAAGCTTTACCTGGAAGCTGTTCCTCATAGCTTTTTGAAGATTGTTATTTTTGAGCTCCTCTTTGCAATATCGCCCATCGTTCATTTGGGCTTAAAGGTGGAGGTTAAGTTTACATTACACAAGGTGACTTTCTGCACTAGGCAACATTCGGGTATGACGGACATCGTAAATATTTCTTTCGCTCACTAAGACGCAGTCAGTAAGGTGCCAGTGCTTCGATCGACTCTTGAAAGATAGTGTTGGTAATGGTGAGCTATCGTTCTGCACAAAACTTTATCAGAAGGCGTCCGTTGTCATTGTAGTTTCCAACGCCATGCTTTCCTAATATTCCTTTCCAAACTTCAGAGTTCTTCCTGCTCTGGCGTTGAAGTCACCAAGGATTATGAGATTATGATTCTATTATCTGAAGGAATCTTCTGGGTGCGATTTGATCTAAATTTGGCTTTTTCCGCAGGGTCAACTTGGTGGGTTGGGGCATATATACTGAAGAGAATAGTATGTTACTTGTTGTCTCTACAAAGCTATAAGGAGATAATGCGATCGGAATGAACTGTCGGCAAATTTTCAACTTCGGAGACAATGGCGTTTTTAACCATGAATCCAACTCCTGAAAGGTCATTTCGGTTTTGCGTTTGCCTGACTGATGGATGTAGCCGGCACCATGCACCATGCTCTTTAAAGCTGTTTTCATCCTGAAGACGAACTTCACTGAGAGCAAGGCTTTACAAATGTGGATGTATCTTTCGAGCCTGTGCAATGGATTTTTACGGTGAGGTGCAACGTGCGTGGAACTAGTCCCACTCTTTACTTCTAAGGTTCATTTGCCAGATCCTAATGAGGTAGAACGGTGACAACGAAATTCTCAGGACGTAGGTTCAATCAGAGTATCCTCTTACTTAGATGGATGTCCATATAAGGCTAAGCAAGTTCCACCTACTTAGTTCGGAGTTAGGGTTGTCTTCCCCCTAGGATCAGGACGCTAACGAGCCCATCCTGACCATAGACGCACTTAGTCGGATGTTTCAGTTGAGACCTGTCACCTACCGGAACATGCCATTGCCTGCGTGCCTCGCAACTTCATAAAGCCACGCAAGCTTTTCTCGTGCGATAGAGGAGTGTCCGTGGAGAAACTCGGATTAAGGGATACTACCTTCTTTGGTAATGTTGTTTGATCACTTTCTTTAAACCGTACGAATATTATATGATAGTTAAAAAGTAAACACGAGACATTTGGTAGTAAAACATGAACGTTTTCATCAGGATAAAGCAAATAAGATGCGTGGAGAGGAATTCAAAATCAAGGAAAGCCACAGAAGTTTGGTTAAATATATCCATATTTACTTGTGCTTCGCAACGTTCTTTTTTCCTCCTTTCCTTTTTTTTTTTGTACAAATCTTTTTCCGATACTAGCTCTGAAAACTGATGAATGGCCAATTTTGTTCTTGAGATTATTGGTGATTTCTGTTTACTCAGCTGACTTTAAAGTTTGATGAAGGTGACGTTTGTACTTTATTTTCTTGTCACTTTTCCATCCAAATATTCGTGGTCAATTTGAATACTGAAAGGTTAACTCAATTTAAACATCGAATGATTGATTGATTAACTTTGTTCCATCGTCTCGTTTTTTAATTTTCCGTCATTACTTTACTAGCAGAAAATTTAAACTTGTGGAAATAATAGGCATCGAAAAAAAAGCAACTTGTATGATCAGTTTTTTTCGATCTTTTAATCTAATTCGGAAATTGAATGAAAAAAAAATTGGAAAGACTGGCATTTTGAATCACTAACATTAAGCTTAGAAGGGTGTTCTGACAACAAATGATTTATTTCAGGTACGTTTTAGTTTGTTCCTAAGACTTTCATTTCTGCCAGGAACTTGTTGTGTAATAACACATTCCATTCCTACATGTTTTTGTGAGCAGAATTATTTTCTAATCAGTTTATTTTTCATTTTATTGCTGTTTCGGATGACATCGCCAAAAACAGCACTTCGAGTTTTGTGCGAAAGGGTATCACTGAAGGTATTTGAATGCTAGTGACATGATATATCCATATTTAATCGTGGTTAAAATATCTGGAAGGAAAAATATTTATACTTCCGACTTACTGCTCTGTGTTAATCCTTGTAGACTAGGGTATTTTATTTGCAGTACGTTTCTGTTTATTTTTTGTCCAATCGACAAAAGAAAGAGTGATGTGCAAGTTGCTTGCGGCTCGTATCATGAATTTGGCACTTCAGTTGTTCTTCTGAATGCCAAATTTTAGTTTGTATAATCTAAAGAAAATTTATTCAGCGATTGTCAATGAAAAGGGTAAGGAAGGACAAGTGGACATACATTTTATGATTCGAAAAAGCTGTTCAAATTTTTCGCATTTCTTTGCAAGACTTGGAAGTTTTCAAAAATTACAGTATTGGTGATAAGCCATTTCTAGAGCTGGAAAGAAAACATAACACACCTAAGGTTATTAATTTATATTCTTGATCTGTTTGTTTAAGAGAGTGCTAATTGTACAGTTCTTGTTGGACTTCGATTCATAGAAGTGAAATGAACATCGTTTTACTGCATGCCAAAGTTTCCTTTCCTCAAAAGAACAACATTGCAACAACATACTGTGCTTTAATATGACCTGTATTTCAATTTTTGCTGAAATGTAATTCAGTTTTTATCTTCTCAGCGTGTGGCCACTGGATTAATTACAACGAAAAACTTGTTAAATATTTGATTTGTCAAATATTTGACACAGTGACAAGATATATGGGGAGGGAGGAGGGGGTTCGGGTTAAATATTCAACAGAGAGACTGATGCATCATTAACATAGATCAGTTCCCAGACATTCATGATATCCTGTATAAAAATTCAGAAGTTCTGCTGCTTACACTGTTGGAAATCCGAAGATTTCGAACTGATATCAAATATTTACAATACAAGCGGAATAAATGAATCGCAATGTTACAGAATTAGAGAATATTTACAGAAAGTTTCTTACCTTCTTCATTTTGTTCTTCACTAGAACAGTTACACAGCTAGAGGATAACACTATTTGCTCATGTATATATGCAAGAATTGTGTTTTTATCATACCAAATTAAGTACAGTTTTCACATTTCGAATCATACTTTTGCTGCTTTTTCTCTAATGATTGAAACACGTTGATGAAACGATAAGCTACTACAGGACTCTCAGAACATATGATGGGAGAATTAACAGAAAACAAATCATTTGCCCTTGGATAATGGAAGCTTTACGATTTTCATATTTTCTCTGGGACAATAGAAGCTCTGCAATTTTCACACCGTTGGCTTTTTTCCTTTCATTAGCCGTTGTTTTATGTGTAACTGCGTGTTTTGATTAATTTTGAATATTCAACAACGCTTCTATTATCCAGTCATGACACATGCAATTTAGTGTGCATGCACTGCATGCATCATCAAATAATCAGAATTTAGCCTGTTATACGATGGAAGATAGTGGAAAGAAATGTTTGGCGAAAAATGAAGTTTTAATTGAGGATGGCAGCTCCAAAACGAACAATAATTTATCAATGACCCCACCAGATGGTTCGCTTTCTATGAAGATTTATTAATTTATTACTTTGCCATAACTGAACCTTATTTTATGAATTTATTCTCCATAATTGATTTTTCATGCTTGACATGCTTTCATGCTTTCATGCTTTCATGCTTGATTTTTCATGCTTGCCAGCTGACATAATCGCGCCACAATGTTGGAGCGATATTTGCTTCGGTATTTGCCAGCTTTCCGATAGACTGAATTGAGTGTCATGAATTGCAGGTGGATACGGGTGGATAATTGTGTTCGCCTCATTTTTTGCCAATGTTATCGTGGATGGGATTATTTATTCGATTGGTAAAACACTTGTTGAGGTTTGGGAACAGGATTTCGGAACGACAGCTATGCAGGCTTCCCTTGTACAGTCGTTACTTGCTGGGTTTTACTTTCTTGCAGGTGTCTTACTTTTTGCAGCCGTTTTTTTTAGTTAGCATTAATAGTCTTATTAATAGATTTAAAAAAAAAAAAGTGTTGTACGGAAACACCAACCATTGGTACAACTAGTGTTCACAGAGACTTGAAACTACAATGATGATGTATGGTACTTTTCGATAAAGTTTTATTCATCGCGGGTTTAGTAGTGAAGTTGTGCGAATTCTGATTTTATTGCTTGTTAGCATCTATAATCATATTAATTGTTTCCAAGGTCCTTTGGCAAGCGGGCTTGCAAATTTATTTGGATGTCGTTTGGTAGTTATCGTTGGTTCTATGACGACATTTGTTGGTTTCATTCTATCTTCCATCGTACCATCACTTCCATTGCTTTATATCACGTTCGGTATTATTGGAGGTAAGTATAAGTGTCTAGCAAGTTTTGACTCGTCCAAAAGAAAAGGAGAAAAAAGAATTCTAGGAATGAAGCAACTGAGTTTTTGTTGTGAAAACCTCTTTAAATTGTAGCTGCTCCTTTAATTCTTGCTGTTCAAGGATTTCAAATTTATGACAAAGAATTTCGCATGATGTTGATTACACAGATGGCCTTGGAAGACATTTTTGGAACTTTGGTGGTGTTTGCTTTCCATTTCCACACGCAGTTTCATCTCACAAAAATCAAATAACTCAGTTGTGGTAAGTTTTTACAATCAACGAATTCAGGAATTGGCTTTGGACTTGTTTATTTGCCATCAATATTGATTGTGAATCAGTATTTTGAAAAACGAAGAGCCTTCGCTATGGGTATAGCTGTATGCGGTTCAGGCATTGGTACTACCATATTTTCACAGGTTTGTCACCTTGATGAGGAACTGCAGTACCATTCAACTAGCTTTTCGTTCACTGAATTGAAATTTATGAATTCTTTCAGACCGTCTAAAGATTTTTTCTGGAATTCTATGCGTCCTCACTATCACTTTCAGTTTTTTATACATTTCAGTTATTTCCATTTTTATTAGAAGTTTGTGAAAACAACTGGAGGCATTTCCTTGTTTATGCAGCATTTATTACACTTTTATCTGTCTTATGTGGTTTGTGTTATCGAGAAACACCATTAGTAACGCCTGAAGATAATGAGGTTTGCGTACTTTGCATTTGTTGATATTTTCAATTTTGAAACAGAAATTGGATTAATTCAAAATCTTAAATCGATGCGACAATATCTTTTATCGGGCAATATGTGGACAGCATCTCATGCAGAAAATTGACTGACAGTGGTTGGATCTTTATTCATAATCTTAAAACCAAGACAGCAAAATTTTGAGGGCTAATTTTACGAGTTGTTGGACTAATTTTACCGAAATTTGCATTTTGCTTCTGACTCAGGACAAATCTGACGACGCTGATGAGTGAAACTGGTAAGGTCCTCTTGACCTGTTGAGGTGACTTTCATCACTGCAGAAAAGTGGATATCTCTCGATTTTGTTCTTTAAAATTTGAAAGGACTTCATCAGTCATCCTTGGGGTATTGCCTAATTATGAAAAACAGAGAAATAAAGAAGCCATTCAAGTGCTGAAAAAAAAAAAATACAGTCTGCTGAAATGCCTCTCTAAATTCAAACGTTTATAAAGCACCGTATAGAAGATGAAAACCTTCATGGGGATTCACATTAACTGTCGATCGAAGCCTAATTTAATAATTTAGACATGTAACAGTGTGAGAAAGCTAGTAATAATTGTTGGTAATGACTTACCAAAACATGACACAAATGTTTTTTGACAAGGGCAAATCCAAATCAGATATTTAAATGCAGCACTGAATTGCGTTCTGCTTCTATGACGGTTGAATATCCTTTTTCTTTTTGGAATGATCTGCTGATACCATGAATATTCTTGAATGTTCTAAGAAATTACCTTTGAACATTAAAGTAATCTGGTCTTTTTGAATTCTGAACATCAAAGGCAAATGAATCCGTAACTATGGAATGGAAAACCAAGAATTTATTTAGCTTCTCATTTATTAGATTTCAAACAGTATTTTTAACTGATCTTATCTGGTTAAATAATTTTCTAAGCTGCTCGATCATCTTGCAATCCAAAATACATATCAAAAATGAGCTTCAAATTACAATGCAAGTATAGAAATACTTCATCTTCCCGGAAAAGGGTCTTCTTCACATAAAAAGACGAATGATTAACATGGAATGTAGTATTAGATTCATATAAATCGCGATACAAAAGTTCGTAGCCTAATTAATCTACATGTTGACGTCCAGTGATACTGTATGTCCTAGTAATTTAATGTAGTACACCGTGATACAAGATACAATGACAGTCGATATCGAAAGAAAACTTATCAATGCGCTGAATAAACTTTTTTGTTACGCTTGCAACATGAAAATCCCACTAAGCTAAATAAATTGAAGAACCAATTTTCTGTAAATTTTTGCACCAGACTGACTGTTTACTGATAGTTCAAATTAGTTACAAATTGTCCTTTTTGCTTTCGATTGTTTGTGAAAATTCAAAGCTTGTATGCATTTTTCTATTTTCTGATTGAAATCATCAAAGTTATGGTATTGATATAAAACATCATTGAATCAGCTCTCTCGTTAAGGACAAAAAAGTGAAATCTAATTCTGATTTGTCCTGTGGAGGAAACGGTGGACATAACAACTTGTCTTCTCAGTTCATTGCCAACCATTCGATATCACTGAGCGGTCTACGAGGGGAAATGTCTCGTTAGTATTTCCTTTTTCTTTGATGGTAAGTAGGAAACTCGCTGACTTGAAAGTGCGGTATTGAGGTTAAAAATCTAATGTCTCCATATTTTGGAGCTGAAAAATTTCTAGTCAAATGTTGAGACTTTGACAACAACAGTGTAAATGCATTACATATTTCCCATAATTAGACTGAAGAAGGTTATCAAAAAGATTTTACATAAGTGTCTCCAGCAATATTTTCAAACGTTATGATTGGTTATGAAACTTATGGTTAAATTATGAAACTTTGTGAAATTATACATAGGAATATTGTTGTACGTAGTTTTTTTTCTGCACAGAACTCCACAATTTTTCTACCATTCAATCCCAGGAAGATTCATTGGTTAATTTTTAATCTGATTTAATTCTATCTTTTCATTCATATTCAGCATTTATATAATTTATAGAAGAAGAAACGAAGGAAATGACGGGTAATTTAATGACGACCTCAAGAACGACGACACAAACAACATCACAAAAAGCTAGAAGACGGTTTCCTTTACATACCGTGAGTTCCAGTCAAGTCATCCACAATAAACAAAGTAGAAAATTATGTATGAAAGAGAGTTTCATTGTCTGACTGAAAAAGACCACATATCGTTGACCACTTAAAATGATAATATTGCCTGGATTTATTTGCAATCACATTTCTACATGCACTACGGTGTTATCATAAGATGTGTCGTCCAGGTGTATTTTCTTTTTATTTTGATAATGGTAATGATAAATTAAATGAATTCGTAGATTTTGCGCTCGATGGTTGATATAAGCTTGCTGTTAGATCCGACCTTTGTATTGATTGCAATCACCGCTTTTTTGACACTTTATTGTCTCTTTGTCCCGTTTATTTTCCTTGGCAAACAGGTTCGTCACTTTTTTTTTTACTTGAAAATAATTTTATATTAAAAGTAATTATGTTTTATTTGTTATGGCATTTATTTTTTAAGCACTTTGTTCACTTTTCAGGCAATTAAAGTAGGTGCGACTTCAAACCAACAATCGTATTTGCTATTTCTTATAGGGCTTGTGAATATCTTTGGGCGAATATTGTGCGGGTTCGTTTCTTTTTTTGTATTTGTTCATTCACTGATTTATCCACTTATTTCCTTTGTTTGCTTGTTATTTACCTAACAAATTTTGCCTGGCATTTCACCTGGTTTATTTACTTGGTATGTGCACTGATTGTAGGCTAATATCCGATTTACCAAAAGTAGATCCATTATTTGTTCATAATCTGGGTGTAATCAGTGGTGGTATAGCAACTTGCATCGTACCATTACTAACACAATATTGGATGTATATGGTATATACAATACCGTTTGCATGGAGTGTTGGTATGAACTCGTCCCTAATTTTCTAATTTTAGACCTAAAAATTTGAAACGTAATAATAAAATTCAAAAGGTTAAATGGCAGTTTCTAAACCAATATAAACTGAAATTAAATGAATTAAAGTAAGCTTGCAGCATGTTTCTCATCACTTCGTCCCATTATTTGTATTGAATTACTCGGTTTGGAAAAGCTTTCTAATGCTTTTGGGATGATGATGCTCTGTATGGGTATTGCTGTTTTAATTGGTCCACCACTTGCTGGTAAATATCATTTAAAATTTCGGGAGTTCAAATGAAATGATTCAAGTAAAGTCCGAAGTAACTATGGTCACAGATGAATCAGAAAGGATGTCCACTTCGTATGGTAAACAGAGGAATGAGGGTGTTTTCTAAGTATATCATATGAGTAATGAATTAGCGTAAACTTCCAAAATATATCTCAATAAACTTATTACAGCACTCTTTAAAGATCTGAGTGGAAATTTCGATCTATCATTTTATGTGATGGGTGCACTGCTAACACTGAGCGGAGTGCTTTGTATACCACTTCGAAGAATCAAGTCCCGAACATCAAAACCAGGGTCTTCGAAAAATGCTAGACAATCTGAACTGCAATGGACGGATGGGACAAAACAGTTTTAAAAAATTGCAGAGAAATTACTGTGATGGTATAATGCTTTTTTATTGCCTCTGCAGCGTTATGTTGTGGCAAACATTTATTGCCTCCTCGGAACTAATACTTTTATAAACATTAAAATCAAACTTTTTTAGCAAATTATAAAAGTAGGGCTGAAAATTTTCAAGACTTTCACTTTTACCAGTTTTGATACCTTTTTTCTCACATAATTAGTGACAATGTCCAATTATTTATAGATTCAGAAGTCTTCAGCATGGTGGTGACATCGATTTCAGCTGCATTTTATTTGTTTTTGGTGAAAAAACGATTTTGATCCTTTATCATTGAATTATGGTGTTAACCAATAGCAGGAGATAGATTTCCAAGATTTCCACCTAGATAATTTTTTCGAATCCGTAAAAGACTCGTATATAATGATGTATCAACATTGCACAATTATTATTTGGTTTCATAATCTGTTGTAACTCTCAATTTTCCACTTTTAAAAGAATTCAGCTAAGTTCGAAAACGAAACCACTCATTAATTCTTGGGTTCTAGAGCATACCGTAGAAGACATACCGTGATGAAATTTTTTTTTTTGAGTGTCGGGTTTTTGCAGGTACTACTCAAAAATCCATAAGTAGCATTTAATCAGTTATATTGGGGTGATACAGCTCATCACTCAGAAGAGCAGGCCAATTTTTGCTGAAGCTGTCGTTGTCTGTGGTAATCATCGTGATCAAATTTAGGACTACCTGGTTAATTTTTAAATTTCGAACTTTACTCAAGGAATTGATAATAAACAGTTAGTCCGCACATTAAGCAGGGTAAAAAATATGAGAAGTATAACACTGTCACTACGAACATAAATTCGGATTTAGTAGTGCCAAAATACAAGCTATGCTAATAAACATCCAGTCCCTTCATGGCAGCTAGGGATTTGTAATTTTTCAGGAGATCAACAAAATAACAAAACAGCGTTTAGAAGAGTATGAAGGATAAGTAGAATTCGGAGTGTTTTCTCGATTTTTTGCATTCTGGAACATTGGATCATTCCTTTTCCAATGACAGAATGATTATACTTAAAATTTATTGCCACACGGTAAAAGATCAGTGCCAGCGTTTCTGCCAACATTATTGTAGCCATTTTTGCTGTAATATTTTAGACTTCGAAGGGGAACAATGATATTTAGAAAATCATGATTGGAATCTCATGATATTCTTATAATGCATGTTATAAAGAAAATTCATCTCTTGTTTTTTTAAAAAAAATGCAAATTGGTCTTAAAGAAATCTTTTCAAAAGAATTTGAAGTTGTACAACAACATACCACAGAAGGGAGTATTCTGCTGATCGGGTGGTAACCTATTCAGCATCTGAGTGTAATTCAGTATTTGCGCTGCAAAACATAACAAAAGCCATACAGTGGAACTGGAAGCAGATACGACTGTTCCCACCATGAATGTTGTTCTGAAACTAGAGGAGCAAAGTGCTATATTTAACATTTAAATGGGTTGCATTAATTTAACCCATGTACAACTTCAGACTTCCGATACATTACATTTTGAATTACCTTCAAGTGTAATTGGAGACATTTTGACCATCAAATTTTTGTGTCATGAAATCTGATAATATTTTAAAGGAATTTTTCACTTTAGGCAAATTAGGGTTTCAGACAGGGAAGAAGCAGTAATTCTGCCATTTCTTTCTGGAGCTTTATGAATGTCATTTAATTTCAGAATTTTCAAATCATTGCAGTTAACGAGAGTGTGAAAAATAAAACGGAATTGTTGAATCCATGTTGCAATTCGACAAAAAATGAAAAGACTCACGTTGCCAAACAAAACAGTGGTAAAGCCATTGTCACGGAATAGTAATACACGATTCTGCGAAATTTTATTTCAAAACGTATTATTGAACGCATCATTTCAGGTCGGTCTCTTAAGTAACATAAATAAAAAGCATCATTTTTTTTTGAAGTAAAAAACTCTTGTAAATATAAACAGAAATTTGCGAAAAAAAGTATGGAACTGACGCGCTTTCGTTGGCAGTAATTTTGCCGAATGGAAGGATGAAGAGCAGTGTTGCGGATAGATTTGTAACTTCAAATTCGCCAGATCGGATGGTTCGCAATTCATTCATTAAACTGCCGAATATATCCGATTTTTGAGTTAATGATGTCCATCTTGAGAATTTCAATCTGCAAGCTTTTTACCTGCTGCTGGAATAGATTCATTCTACTCTAAATCAATCGCCGATCAAAATAAATCTTGAAATGAATCTTGCAGTTTGCTGAAAATAAACCATCCGCAAGCTGTTCAGTTGCTTCCACTGAAAATAAATTCAGACGGAAAATATGCTTTGAGAATAGAAGACACAATTTCGCTAACTGTACTACATAATTACATTTTACAGCTTCCAAGGTTACCACAAAGGTAAAACAGCACCTGGACAATGGTAACGGTGTGAACATAGTTAACAAACAACTCTGAATATCATTTGGATATGCAGTGAAATCCAGAGAACATGTTGAGCGAATTGTTAGTATCACCTAAAACGATGGTGCGTTTGAAATACTCCTTTGATTCATATGCTATTTATTACCAATATAGAGACTTTAAAGTGCTTCCTATGGCTTCAGAAAGGTATCTTGATAGAACCTCAGCTCTTCAGAGAAGCTTTTCGACTAAGTAGAACCACTGCCATTACTCGACTTCTAATAAAAATATTGAGTGCTCAGGAATCGATTTTCATTTCGCTTACTTGTGCATAAACCGCTCCATTACTGATTAGCGTTACTTCGGTATTGAAATATTGCATTGCCTGATCGCTTCTCAGTTTCCTGTAATACAATTCTTATCATCCCCATAGTTTCATTAAAAAAAACATATGGCTTAGCACGATCTGTTGGAATGGAATCTTGATAGAATTTTAGCTCTTCAGTATTTCAACCAATCAGAACCACTGCCATTACATCTTAGTATAATATATTTTTAGTTCGTATGCCTTGAGAAGCTGATAAGAATTACAAAAAAAAGCAGTTTGATGCAGACATATCCTAATACAATATATTTAGAAAAAGTATACTTAAATTTCAGTAAAGTGGATCGCAGGAAACCACATTCTTGGTAAATCACTTTTCTGTCGTACGATTTTGCCAACATTACCATAGTCTCGTGGTTCCCAAACAATTCTTTTGTCGACCCAGTGCTATAAAATACACCAAATTTTAGAAACTTTTTCAGCTGAAAGTTGCGGAAAGCAGGAAAAATTCAAACTTACAAATAACATACTACAATGCATTTCCATCAACTGTTGTTTTTGATCCTGAAGAAGATAAAACATAAAAAAGACAAAAAAGTTTTCTAAATATAATGGAGAACCGATAAATTCATTTAAAATGATGGAAAGTTTGTTTGTTAGCAATGAAACGAACAAGTTGTTCGATGTGGTCAATAAACATGAACGGTAAAACAATGGTTGGTGACTCGGAAGGCAAAGAGTAATCGTAGCTTTCCTTTCTGAATATTTTTTTCAGCAGTACTTTTTCATTTTCAGCCATTTTCTGCAAAAATTCGTTTGTAATAGAAGTATATTTTTATAAAAAGTTGCTTTCAAAAACATACTCAATTAATCAATGAACACAAACTTGGAGAATTATTTAATTTTGTTTGATAAAAGTAATACCTGAATAGTTCTGATTTGTTCGGTAAATATTGGTAGAAATAGCAGGTATAAAAAGTTTAGTATGGAAGCCATATCGCATTGCATAAACTATGCAGGAAGAATGTAAACTGTAGATTCAGTGTTTGCTGAAAATGTTATAAGCTAACAATCTGATCTAAAATTTCCGGATAAGTTGGAGTCCTTCCTATCTGGAGGTAGTTCGAACTGTTGGTTATTTGAACTGGATATCTATCAAAATAAATTTTGTGAATAACGATTCAGTGGAGTTCTATTTTAATGAAAATAAACTGGGAGAAAAATTTTGAAAATATCTGAATTTACAAACCAACGAAGCTCTCTTCGTGCTGCAATGCTATGATTTATAGCTCGTAGACATGCCGAAATCGAGGTGTTTAGTCTGTTTATATTTATGTCATTTAATAATTTATAAACAGTCTCATGTGATGTAATATTGAAATTTTCATTGATTCCGTAGCTTTTGACACTATTATACAATTCAAATTATTGGCAATCACCAATCACCAAATGTTGGTAGACATTTTAATCTATTGAAAAGTTAAGTGAGGAGATAGCAAACGTAATCCAGATCCAGAATTTTATCTGAATCCATGATTTCTTAACTTGATAAGTATTATAATATCCAGCATATTCTTCTTTTCTCAAACTGTGTGTTATTAAAAAACTACATTCTCGCCAACTTCGACATAGAGCCATTAGCATTTGTTTCTTGAAGTACCCTTAATACTGTCCTCGTTGATTAAGCTATAAAGCGTTCATGTCTTAAGCGGCTTAAATCGAATAATTTATCTGTGATTCGTTGAAGCTCTTCACAAAAATCACGTTCACTTTACCAATTTTATCTTACATCGGCACTATCAAGTCGCTGAATAACACTTCTTCATTGACGTATGATGGTCAGGCGGAATTTAATTGGACATTTATGAAAATCTTAATTATGCATAGATCTTTTATCACGTAATCCATCACATGCTATTGTTATCAAGAAATCGAAAAAAAAAATTTCTAGATGATATCTTCTTGATATAATTATTCTCCGTTCAAAGTTTCCATAAAAATACAGCTCCGGAAAGAATTCTGTAAATCAAGTTGCATACAAATTTATGGGCAGCGGAAACTAGTGCCTAATTAATCTAAAATAAAACATCTTTCAGTGAGAAACAGTAATAAATTGATTTGCTTTATAAGTTATTTACGTTCAAGCAAAAATTTCGAATAATGTATGAATTAGTTCGCAACAATTTAAGAGGTAGCCGCTTTCGTTACAGGGCCAAAATGATGCTGCAAAATACCTCAAAACCAGAAAGGTAAAAAGTATGTTCCAGTTGGTTCTAAATTCTCAATGGATTTTAACAAATGAATTTTCAATCAATCCACAAAGAATATTTTGACTAATTGAACATAAATGGCTGAATGATATTTGCTAATAATTCATGAGAAATCGGTTCAGCTCAAGACAATCTTTATTTCTCTTCCTATTCTCCTCATCACGAGAAACTGCAGTCTATTTAATGAAGTGCTAAATAAACCTGCTCCACCAACAAATCAGTGTTGCAAATACTTCGGAACAATTGCTTATTTACAAGCTCTTTGTGATGAAATGATTTTCAAAGATCTTAACTTCGGAAGATGCCAATTCCTTCATGCCTTTCTCCGAAACGCTTTTCTTGAGCAAATTTTGGTCATCCATGTTTATCGCTTTGCTCATACGAATATTTTCCTCTACTGCTTCTACTGTTTGTTTTATCGTGAAGCGAAGCATATATGACCACTGTTTACTTAAATATTCTTCACTATTTATGATTCATTAGTCTAATATGTTTCCCTTTCAGTTTGATGACGAAAGTTTACATTTCACTACATCCTACAAGGTCCAGTCGTAACGTGACCAAAGTTGGCCTTCCCCTAGTTGACATAAATGCTGCTTTGGTATTGCATGAAAAAATACTACACTTTTCTTTATCCAAAACTTTTTGACGTTTGGTGTAATCCTAAGCTGATGGTAGTGCGCTGATAAAAAAATTAAAGTTTGGGCTTTGCCATCTACGGATGAAGCTAACGTCTAGCTCGGAAGCTAACGTTTAGCGCAGAAGCATCCCAGGTATGAATGATTATTTTTCCTTACAATACTGAAAATTCGAAAATGAGTATGCCAAAAATTTATCGCTTGATTTATGCGTATAAAATAAAAAGTGCTAGTCACTTATCGATACTCATCACACAGGAAAATGAACCTTATAACAATTTCCCCAGAAAGACATTGAAGATATATGATATTCGTTTATAAATGTTACACGCTTAACCCTGTAGGTTTTGACAGGCACGAATGACTTCCAAGTTCAACACTTGATCTGACTATAAATGACAAGCATAGTAAACCCCATAAATTTCAAATCCCGTTGAAATCCAGACATAAATCACTTTTCCCACTCTTACCGGTCGAAATATCAATACCAACCACCTTCAAAAACACAACACAGGTTAGGGATGGCAATGTCTTTTTGGTTTTGTTCTTGAAAGCAGTTAGTCTTGACATAATTAGATCCTCGAATTTTGTGTTCGATTTTTCATGGACTTCCACCTCTGCCTAAAATTTGCTAAATTGTTTAGGACCGCTAAGACAACACCGCCTCGAGATATGCTGGGACGTGGGTCTAAATTAGTGGTTCCCAACCGGTAGCCCGCTTACCCCCCGAGAAGGTGGTTCGCGAGAACTAAAGTACGGTCTGCGAGATATATGAAAAACCATGTCCTTAGTTTATTGTATTATAATGCCACACCAAGTTTGGCTAAAGATGGTAAAAGCTTTGCTTAGAGTTTGATTCCAAATAAACAATTTATTTCTGAACCTTGGGGTCCATGCTACGACTTCTGCATCCAAACAAAAACGAACTACTTAATTACCACACATAATTAAAAACACCCCACAAGTACTTTAGCCGGGATTTCGCGAACCAAATCCCAATTTAAGCTCCCGAACGCTTTAGCAACATGTACCTCACGCTCCCTTTGTTAGCGAACTCCCCTCATCCTTCCGAAAACACCACAGCTAAAGTATTCCAAATCACACTTCACCCGATTGAGATTTTTTTCACTGCCGTTTCTCTCACCCAATCTGCGCAGCGTGATCCACTGAAACGAACAAAAGACAAACTTTCAAACACCCCCCGCTTACAACGCCGCAAAACTTGAAGTAGCCACCAAAGAAATGAAATAACAATGAACCACAACCACCACTCCAGTCAAAGAATACCACCCAACCCTCGCTCCCCCTAAAACTCGAAATTTGAGCACCTTTTCCTCAAGTTTCCTATTCATGTTACAACTTGCAACCAAAGTTTGAAATAGCGCCTGGGAAGACTTCATTTCTTATGAATTCATCCATCAAAACATCAGAAATGCTCCAAAACAAAGTGAAAAGCTTTTACCATTTAATTTACAACTGTTACACCTGATCCGACCAAACATCAGTTTCTTACAATGCCAGTTTTTATGTTTTATTTTAATCCACCCGCTAGTCAGGCTGTCGGTGAAATCGATTTAGATATGGAAACGACAAATGCGCACCAAAACAGAACTTTAAAACTATGCACAATCGTCTTTCAGAAATCACCATGTAAACAATCATAATATTCGATTACACGAAAACCTCTTTTTGGTAAAACATTCAATGGAAATTCGAATGAAAATCATATCAAAGCAACGCGCAGAACGCGCTTACAAGTTCATAAAAAATATTGGAGCAAAAAAATATGCTTCAATAAGAAAACTTGACAAAATAAAAAAAGGAAGCTGACACAACTCACGATGAGGTAAACAAAAGGTATACCTTCCTGGCGCCATTATAATAATGATGCCTTTACCTTGTCTGCTGAGCAAAAAAGGGAAAAATTACATTCCTTCATGCATTGAAAGTGAATACAGCAGCGACGTTGCCGATAGAACACCCTAATACCATTTTTAGCAACAAATTTTTGAAGATTGTCCAGGAACTTAAAGTTACACGGGATTTTGCCTATTCATGGCACTTTTAAAATCAAAAGTCAAATACTAACTAGTTCAGCAAACTCGCAGCCTAACATCATAATATCACAAAAATGCTGAAATTCTCTGAATCAAAATGGCTGAAAATTTTAACAAAATTGTTCACAGCTCATGTTACAAAAATGCTTTTTAAACAAGCCCATCAGTCGTTTCTAAAAAACAATAACAGATCAATTTAATCTAAGAAATATGAAAGGTTTCCAATGAAATCCTACAGAGATGCACAAGACTCGAGATACATACCAGAAAAATTCTTATTATCTATGCACATAGCATACATCATGTTGCACGCTGTACGCATAATAAGAAAAAAGGTGATTAATTTCGAGAAAGGAACAATAAAAAATCTCAAGTGAAGATGATTGGGGATTTGTTTGGGGAACACTTTGCATAACCTGATACGTTTGATACGAACCGCGTTTCCCATAAATGTTTTACCTTCTTTTCTTCATGATGGTATGTTTGCCGTTCTAAAGAAACTAATCAGAATGATTGCACTACACCATTACAGTAAAATATGACGGAAAAGTTACAAAAGTATGAGCTGTGAAATTTAATCTTAGATTACGACAAACTTTATATGCAGGACCAAAATGTAATTCTTTGTGTCTATGTCGGCTTAGTAAAGTTCATTATCTCACACTTATTTCATCTAAGAAAATTGTAGCTAGTTAATTCTGCTGCCTGATATTACTGGCTGTTTCTATGAGTGGAAGTATATCTGAAATTATTTGCTGTATTTAGAATGAAAAGTATTTACCAGAGGCACAGATGAGCCTCACGTTTGTTGAGGATCACAAGCAGTAATTGGAGTATTAACTCCAAGAGGTGTACCACATGCTGTTGGTGGTGCAGCAGACGAGGGAGCTTGATTTCCTGTATTCACACCCCATCCGCCTATCGACGTCAATTCAAAATCAGGCATGTAGGCTAAAATAATAATTTTAAACTTTAGGATGCACATAGTTTTGAGAATATATCATGCTCGAAATACATTGAACTAAATATACCGAATTCTAAACACACACAATTTTGCAAATATATCAGGCTTTTATATATTTAGTTAAACGCAATGGGAGTTAAATAAGATAAGCTTTCATCGAATCTACACCAACCTTCCAAAGATATCAGTAACTAAATCAAGAAAGAAAAGTTAAAAATTAAAAAAGAAAAACACAAACTTTGAGGGGGTGGGGGTCCTCCAATTGCAGACATTGTAGCGGGCATCTGATGGTTCATACTAGGTAATGAGTTCTGCATAGCACTGGGATCGAATTGCGTATTTTCCACTCTAGAAATAGTTCTTTCATCCTCTTCGCCATATTCACCACCCATCATTGAAGGTTCACCCACTACCATAACATCCTGATACTGGAGTGGAAACTGCAACAATTAAACTGAAAATACATGTTTCAAAAAAATTTGATAGGCATTCAGTCCGAATTCATTCGCATTAGCACAAAAAGAATCCAGTACAGGAAAGTGGCAGGAACCTATACAACGATATTCAACGGCATTTCCTGACATAATGAATGTAGAAAGAAAAACAAACATGTGAATTTATTGAAAAATTAGTAGCATTTGTCGATGGAGGCGAGTTATTTTCTTTTTAGCATTCGATGCTGTACTCGCACCAGTCGCAGTCTTCCTTGTTCGTTTCCGAGGTTTCTTGGAAGTTGGTTCCTCCACCGGTGTCGGTGGTAATACATGAGACGGATTCATGCCACCTGTATTGGCAAATGAAAAAGGAATGGGAAAGACAAAGTAGTCAAAGTTAAACATTATACATCGAAATTGCCAATCACAAGAGGAAAATTTCGAGTGACTAACTCACCAATTGCGTTCATTGCCATTTGTTGCTGCTGTTGATGCTGCTGATACTGCTGCATCTTTGCATGAGCTTGGAACAAGGTTTGCTTCAAAGACTCTCTCGGTGGAATCTGCAATTTACGAAACTTACAATTGAGTAATCCAGAATCAGAATTTGTAACAGAAAATGAAAGTCAAACAAACAACTTTAATGAAAGGTGTAAGAAATAAAAAGAGCTTACGTTGTGCGATTTACTTTGACTCATAAGTACTTGCATTGGTTCCAGGATGACACATAACTTCAAATAATTTAGCGTAATTTGGGTCATGCCTGTCCGTGTTATGTTCATTTTCAATTTCTCTTGCGTTTCGCTATCTTGCAGCTGTAATCAGATTGTACAGATTTCGTTTTTACAAAAAATATTGTGTAAATTCAGCAATACATGAGATCACTTCTAATAGTTCCATGCAATTCCCGACGTAGCAGGAAAATAATTATTGACACTTCGAACCGATACACGATTCCACATTCATCAGAATACAGGTGATAAGACATTTGATATTTGTTAATGTAGCCATAAAAAATATACCTTCACCCTTGTTAATTTATTACATTATCCTGAGCACAGAATTATCATAATCCTTCAACAAACCATAATACATTTAACGGCAGGAATAAGTCAGCGGTGAAACAATAATCAATAAAAGGCGACATACCATGTTTACATCTCTCAGAACAAATTCTTGACAATGCCTTAATTCGATGTTCCATTGTCGGATCCTGTAGCCATATGTGTCATCAAACGCGAATTCGCACATCAATTTACAGTCGGTATGAACCTAAAAATTTGGGAAACTTACAATACTGACTTACAACACTAAGCACGAAAAAGATCGTAAAATCCCTTTAATTAGTATATATTGTTGATCAATCAGTATATACTGTTGATCGTAAGCAAAGCAGTTAAATTACACAATTATATTGAATAAGTTTCTACTCCTAAAGCAAGACGTTGCCATAGTTAACTAGCCTATTGGGACGGACCACATGAATAAGTTTCTACTCCTAAAGCAAGACGTTGCCATAGTTAACTAGCCTATTGGGACGGACCACATGAAACATTTTGTCTATTTAATTTGAAAAGTAATGTTGAAAGCTTATAGCAGAATACTTGAGGAACAAAAAGGACACTAACTTCGGACAGGACAGGTTTTTCATGTTTTGACACAAGAAGTACATTATCGCAGTCAAGCACAATTGTCCACGGTCCACCTGCCTGCTCGCGAGAAGGTGTTCGGATTACATAAAACATCTCTTTCACTCCACTTTCAAATATTGACCGGAAATACCTCGGTATCAATAACCGGCCAATGGCTAAAATTGCAAGAAGTATAAGAGAAGTAAATCAATTGCGGATAAGTAATCCTAACCGAATTTATAGAACAAAATTATAAGCCTTTGTTCTGCTGTCAAAAAAAGTTCTGTCGAAAACCAGTCACAAAACCACATACTATATCGATGATGATGTCCAGGTGCTTGGTCATCAAATAATAAAAAGCTCATTTTGGCATCGTCATCAAAAAATTCATGTGCAAATGCATCCCACCACTGCGCATGGTCCTTTTCCTGAATCTGAAAATCAAATATTAATCCGCATGCAACTTCCTCAGGAAATATTAATTTTGCTAATGGAAGCAAAAGTCAGAATGTACCTTGATTCTCGAAGACAAAGGCCCTCATAGCCCATAGAAGTACAACAAAACAAATCTAACACAATATGACACTACGCAAATACTTGACATAAGCGTATCGACCAATAAAAAAATGAAAATCAGAAGCTAATAAAGAGAAACACTTACTCCGCTGTTACTGAAGATGAATAACCTTCGATTCATTTCATGCAACCTGAATTCTAATTGCGAGGGGGGAGGACCTTGCTGATGGTTCGGCATACCCATAGGGGCCACATGTCTGTACCTGAAAAACGTAATATAAACACTTGATTTCATCAGAGATTGGAAGCTGCGTTACTCTGAAAAACACATTTTAGCAATAAAAATGCCCGAATGACGATTTCTCTTATGGACTTCCTTCACGAAGTCCTTCCCTAGTATCTTGGCAACCTTGAGCAGAACACTTCCAAAAAAGCATGAATGAGAACCTCATGATCATATGATTATGTTGTTGTAGATGAGACGGCTGCCCAACAAAAGGACTTTGCGGTGGTTCGGGTTCAATAAACTGATGTGGTGGTGGTGGTGCCTGTTGTGCCGAACCAGGAGGTGGACCGAGTGGTGATGGCTGATAACCTGGCGGTACCGCCTGATAATATTCTGGCGGTGGTGGAGGTGGCGGTGGCGCGCCCATCGAGCCAGTTGGTGGTGTGTACACATGATGACTTGACATTGGTCCACCATCATCGTGTATTGGGATCATCCCGTTATGATTATGCATCATTGGTACAGTTTGCATTGCTGACGGTGCTTGACCACTGTCGTACATCCCCTGAACCATTTCCAGTTTCGGTTCCAAACCACCGATATCTTTCTTCGAACGTCTAGCACGTGGTCTTGCTGTACCGACAGCTGTGCTTGCCGTACCATTTTCATTGGCTTTTCGTCGTGGCATTGGGTTGCTTCTCAAGCTAAATGCTTTGCTGCTGAAGTTCTGCCTGCAGTACTGTCTTCACCGTATACTCATTTCCGTACACACTGTTCGAAACAACTGATAAGCAAACTGGGATACCAAAATTCAAGGAGCACCAAAAATGCCACATCAACCTTCAAAAACCAAACTCCAGCACTGGAAGTGATCCCGATAATGGAGCCTCAATAATTATGCACCTTCTTTCTGAAAATTAATCAGTGTCGCCCTCTTTAGTTGCAAAAAATTCGTTGCTACGTTGCAATCAAAATACCTGAACTACTCAACGAGACGATACGACGCTAAAAAGCAATAACGTGGCAAGGAAAGTGCTATCAACATTGGGAAACGAATATCAATGGATTTTCAGTTAAAAGACCAAATCGGTAAGCAAATAAATGGTCAAAAATGAACTTCGAATTCTCTCGGATGGAAAAGTGATGAACTGCCACTTGTCAATCCATGTCATATAAAAATTTTAGCGCACAATTGCTGACAAGTAACCATAAGTCGAAATTGAAAACCTTATTACCATGAAATTTCAAGGTACCGTATATAAAAAGTCAGTATAAAATAACAAGAACAGTTCCCAAGTATATGCAATAACAACATTACAAGCTCCATCCAATGAGTGTACCCATAGTATTATGCAATGTCATATTCCATAATTCTTCCTAGCCTACCTAAGAATGTCGTGGATATCAAGAAAAAAAAAACCTGGTGATAAGTCACAAGTTAATGGACTATGAGCTTTTCCCGTTTTGAAGCTTATTTACTAATCAGATGGGGGAAAAAAAAGGAAAACATGAACTACACCGTTGGGTAAACAAACAGTAGAACAGTACAGGAACAAATTGGTAGCAAAGCTCACAGATCAACAACACGAGAGTGTGTACAGCAGAAGTGATGGGCACATCTGATGCTGATCTACTTCGTTTTCAGTGCTGTGTGGGAAATTTCAAGCATGCAAACACAGCCGTTACATTCATCGTTTCATGGTGCTTATTCAGAGATAACACGCTCAATGCTCTACACTTCATCAGATCTAAACCAATCTATCCCAGTCATCCAATCCTTACTTGATCTAAATTACGACCAGCTGTTTTTTCCCAGATGCAACCTAAATTTATCGTCTGACTCTGGTACACGGGCGAAAGATCAATCGGACCATCTAGTAGCTGGTTCCTCTGAAGTTTCCCTCAGGAGAGCTGGAGTACATAATGAAGCAGTTATATTTGGTAAAGAGAATGATTAGAGGAATTGTGGAACGCAACATCTTCAACCTGTTCTCCAATTTTCATTGGCTACGGCACATCTCACTTGCTTAAATGAACGTAGACACTCAGTGTGTGCTCCAAGAAGGCTATTTTTGGTAAGTAGGGCTGACGCCGTGGGATGAACCAAACCTTTAGTATAAAAGAGTGAGTAGGAAGAAAACGGACAAGGGGAAATACTGATTTAGGTGTCCAGCATCCTACACAATTTCCCTTTACTTATGAAAGACAAGTAGAGTGTAATGAAATCAAACATACTTCAAAATTCTGTGAACGAGGATTCACGTATGGATCAACAGAATTAAAATGCCCTTTTGGGTCAAATAACTCAATCTAAACCAGTTTTCAGATCGAAGACCGACTGAAATTAAAATCGAAATTCATGCACCAAGAATGTGAAATATAAGAAAGGGAAATGTTTGGATGAGCAAATATCATAAGCATGGCAAGACGGGAGGGGCATTGGTGTATGCGACCCGTTTTCAAATAAAAAAGGGATAAGGATTCGACCCGAAGCTTGCAGCTAATCAGCATAATCGCATAATCAATAAATGTGTGCGGCTGTGAATAGTGGGCATGGGGAGGAGGAGGGGAAACGGGTGAAAAGGAAGGAGATGAGGAGGCAACACAGCGATCTATCTATCTCACCCAGCTACAGCACCTCATCACAAACCAAACCTCGCTACATCAACTTCCACACCAAATTCAACAAACCACGCATATCCTAACTTTCCTTACTACTATTCACCTCACCGGATCATCATTACGTCCAAAACATGTTATACATATATATAACTCTCTGCCAACATATGCCGAAGTAGTTAAGAGTGCGATGATGGAAGTCTCGTCAGCTATCGTTCCAAGACACGACAAGAGTTCGACGATCTGAGATTGAAAGGGGTACTTCTTTCCAGCGAAAGAAAATTTGATAATGTAGGGTCAGTTTTTCTGAAGACGATAAATGGGAGGGATGTCTGATGCGGACATTAAGGAGAAAGCTGTGATCCTTAGACGAATTAGACAATTCATCTACCAGTAAATCTGAAACACCCTACTTCATTATCTGATTATTTCACAATACTCGCAAACCACACTTTTTAATAATTCCTCCAACGATCTACTTGTTTTACTTGTAAAGAACTCTAGAATGCCCATATGCATCACTATCTAACCTTGTTTTCCACATTTATGTTAGGAGTATAAACAAACTAAAGAGTAATACGCCAGTAATGAGTAATGCGCGCAGACGGTAAAAAGCTCAAAAATGATGCATAAGAATTGCAGCAGCCAACAAAAAGTAATCGAAAGTTAAGGATTTAGCATCAAAGCCATGTAGCGTTGAAGCGACAACATTTGCGTCTTACCGTGAAACTTTTATAGAGAAATGGTCCAAGAAACTGAGCTTACAAAACGTCAACTAAATGGTTTATAAATACCTCACCTTTCTTAGGAAACTTTCCACACCCTTATCAAACCACAATCGGTAATAATATTAGTGACACTCAAAGATACGCTAGCGAAATGAGACTTATCAGTGACGTAGTCTGACGACGAAGAATTCCCACAGACACATTACGATATCCGTGCATTTAATGACATATTTTTTGTTGTTTTCTCGGGATTTGCCTTCGAATGAATGTAAGAAACATCAGCCCAAATAAGAAGAGATATTGACACATCTAGAATCCAACGGTTCATCATCAAAAAAAGATTATCATTAAGGTAGGAAACACTTATGCTGTTGGTAATATTTTAAACTTTAGTATCAATTAATTCCATCCCGATGTTTACTAGCAACACATAACTCCGTGTTGGCTTCATGACGCTATTCCTAAGTGATGACTTGCATAATTTTGCATGGAATATTCTACCGTCTGCAAAAGACAATAATACCGATAGTACACGTAATTACTGAACGAATTAAATGAAACTGTTTGGAATGCTGTTGCATTTTTCCACTGCACAACCGTATTGGTATGAAGAAATAGAAACACTCGGCATTCTGAATTGTCGAGTATTTCCAATACCAAAATTGCACTACTGAATGTTCTTAGACCTAACTGCCAGATGCAATTCATAGTTACATACGTGTTTTGCTGCAGTAAGAATAACGGGATCACGTCATGTGATGACGTCAATGGAAATAGTGAAAAACGCATTCCCGTTACTTGCAGTTAGAAATGCAACTTTTGCGACGAGTGGATGAAACTGCTTGACAATCGTCACAATGGTATGTCACCGGGCTACTTAAAATCAAAAGAATGTAACGACCAAAACATCTCAAAAAGAACACTTTGAAAAACAATGACTATTTGTAAAAGTGTTACACCGTGAATACGAATACGAACAGCCTGTGCAAAAAACCGGTCAATGAAACACCTACATACACATACACGGCCATATATGTATATGCACAGACATGTACACAGACATGACGGATATGTTGGCATATATACATGGAGGAACAAACATGAAGTGAGCCTAATAGTTGAAGGGCTGTACCAACTGAAACAGTTTTCTTTTTTTAACAATGATAGGAGAAAGGGTAGTAGCCATAATAATATGGCGCGTATATATGGTTGGAGAATGTGGTTGTTAGCTTCGTTTACTGCAGAAGGAATCAGAGCATCAACCACTACTAAACGATTGACAGCTGTATCGTTGGGAAGCAAAAAGTCCTTCCAGCTATTTCCGTAGTGCACTGCTCCATGTCACTTTTACGCAAGGACTGCTTGGCATTGTACAAGAACTCTAAATATGGCCAAGATATTTAACCATGGATATGCATGCTAAGTTGACAACTTCTTATAAGCAGCCATAACAATTCGGTAGTGAATGGAATTGAAAATCAGAAGGTTTTGGGATGAGCAACAGCGCTTTACTGGTGTGTACGCTGCTGTCTACAGGTAATATGTAGGTTATGCGCACACGCCATAATGGAAACGGGGTTATGGGGAAAAGAAGGAGAAGGGGAGAGAGAGGGCAAAGAGTACATCTCCTTCCAAACAGCACTACAGATCTTCATGATTGTGGTGCTACCACTGCAGACATTTGTGGGAAAACAGGCGAAACCACATTTACTACTACTTAACTGCAGAAGCGCAGCAAAAACATGTAGCAGCACTCGTTGAAGTTACAGTTCGCTGTCGCGCAAGCTCGTAATCTTTTGTGGGCAACCGACCGTTGCCAGCAGACCCCTGCTGGATCAAAACAGTGAATAGAAGATGGTGACGAGAAGACGGCAATGCTGAAAGTTATCGTGATAGGGGCACTACTACCTTTGCCATCACGAACGACCAACAGTCACCTTTTGGGACCACCACTTCATCGGCGATCGCTCGACTACTCACCCGTTTCTGAAATCCCCTCAGTCCCAGAACCACAGTACCAGCCCCGGCGTTATATTGAATGGAAAGTCTCAGTAAGACCCTTATCATTTGCCACCAGAATTTTCAAATTGCTGCCGTTCTCTATTCTTTACTATAGAAAGTATTACGCTGGTTGAAATTTGAATGCCAAAATTACTTCAATGAGGAATCTCAAAGTTGGTGTAGCAAACACTGCCGCATCCTCAGATTTGCATAAGAACCAGAAATAACGATTTGAAACCACAATCTAACTCTATGACAAAGCACTGGAATGTCGCAGCTTTCTAATTATAGTTGACTTTACCACAAAAAACCTTGAAAAGCAAGTAGAATTTTAATATTCCTTTGTCTTCATTCTCCCAGTTCAACTTAAACTTCATTCAAGATAGAGAGCTGGAGATGATAAAATTCAAATTATGGTCAGAAGTATCGGTTTTTTTTTGGATAAGGAATACTGGTGTTTGAAGCTTGAATGATTCGAGTTAAAAGTAAGGTTCTTGAAAACCATGGTTCGTGACAGGATGCATTCAGGAAAACGCTGATATTTAATCTGGAGCAAGTCATCGCTACTGTAACTGTGCGAATGGTTATCGAAATATCTAAATAAGTTCGAATTTACAATTAAAGCTCTAAGACAGGGCTATCTAGAAGTGGCATTAATAGAAATCAGAGTTATGAGAAGAATGAAATTTCAATTACTGAGATAAGTCAGCTCCAACCTCTGATATCCAACTCGAATATGATTAGACAAGGACTGGGAAAATGAAAAGAATGGCGTGGTCAATGCAATGCTGAAATTCGCAGCCGCTAACTTCTGTTAGATGACACTTACCCTTCTTCGTGCGAACTTAATAAAGTTTTCGCACTGTACGAATCTAATAAAGCTAAGCAGTAAAGGTAAGGGGGAATGAACTGGAACATGTATAACAGATTTGTTGCTCTGGGTAGCACGCCTCCTACTTGTAAGATGCTTAATTTGAATTTATAGATGACATTCAAGTACGATGTCTCATTTCGTATCATTCGCACGAACTTTTCACACGAACTTTCTTATAAAATAGGAGATGAGATAAAGCAGTATCCTCCAACCAATCATAATTTTGTGTTACTGTTATACTGTTAAAGTTGAAAATTTAAGAAAGCATGGCAGTCGGCTTAGGAAATATAGGAAAATACCATTGTAACATGAGACGCGAAGACGACATGCATACATATTCATAGCACAGGCATGCATACACAGCCATGAGATGAATGAGTGTGTTTCACGGTGCTGTTGTTGAAAAGGGATGTATGTAAGGCTTAGAGAGGAAGATGATCACTACCTGGACTGACCACTGTGCAGAAAAGTGGAAGGTGAAATATTGGTAACCTTGGGACTGTATGGGAGGATGGTGATGGTGATGAGATGAGTCAGGAGGCGGATTAATGGGTGAGTAGTGGGCGAGGGTGGGCGGATCATTTGCGGCAATGCTTTACGCTTTCGGGCGACATTTGGAATGTTGCCTGGAAGGGTCGCCGTATGGATTGGCACATCTTACGAATAGATGTGCGTCTAGCTTCGCCACTGTTGTGTAATGTGCAGGCGAACATTGGATAGGCTCATCGAGCTACGAGCGAAAAGGAGGCGTCAATTGAGGGGGGTGAGTATGAGAGAAATGACACGTATTGATGTGGGAGACAAACAGAGAGATAGCGTACGTTGGACAATGACCAAAGCAATGGGAATGGCTGAGGGAGAGGCAAAAAGAGATGGGTAGGGAATTTACCTAATGAGCAATTTTCAACGCGTGCCACTCTGTCGCTCTTCGAGCTTGACACAAGCAAAGCCAACAAAACAATGCTCTGGTATATATATATATACTAAGGGGTGATGAGCAGCCCAGTCACTCCACTGGGCCAGTAAAAGATAGTTAACTGTTGGATGACCCAACTCCGCGTTACTACCATAGTTAAAGCTTACTCAGTCAACTTACAGCTCACACTGCAAAGCATAGTGTACGAAAGAAAGTGAGCTATTCAGTGACACGAGGACATGGAATCGTAACAGTAGGATGAGTACACTAACCGCTCACCTTGACCTTTTGACCCCTGCACCCTCTCGCAACACACCTTCCCTCTCTCCCTTTACATTCATCTACTTAATGTCTCTAATTTTCATCAAATTCAAACGCCGATCAAGGACGACGGTACTATAAAAGATAACAGTGCATAAAAACCATAAACCCCTCAAGCTTTTAAGGTCGGTTAATTAAATCTGGATTTAAGCTATCCTGTAAAGAAGTATGAGTGAAAACCCTCAATCATACTGAAGGTTTGCCAAAAGCACGTATCAACTTGACGTACAGTTTTTGCGCAAACCTCTGACATCGGTTGTCAGTACGAAGAATATTTCACTCCTGACTCTGTCGAAATTCTAGAGGGTGACGATTCATTGTTCCACGTGATAAAGTTGCTTAGCGTATGCAATGGATGATTGCCATAAATTGGGGGCGAGAGGCGATGTTGACAAATAAAATTCCAAACTGTGCGTTTCTACGAGGTCAAAAAGGTGAAACCAGTTTGAAGAAGCGACAAATCGGGGCTGCTATGGGGAATGCCATAGGTTCGCTGACTGTGGCAGTCGCACCATCGCAACATTTGATGAACGGGTTTGTGTACTCAAAGCATACGTATATGCAGCCAACGGAGTGGGCAACCAACTGCTTGTTCCTGTCGCTCTCGAACATACCCCGAGGCATCATAGTATCGAAATTCAGGAGAAAGTTGTAGGAGGACTCCAGTTAAATATGTGCACCAACATCATGCAAAGAGGATATCACTAATATCTACTGCTAATTACATTGCATAATGAACCATCTTCTTACCCGAAATTTGCCCCTACGATTATTATAATCTCAATTATCCCGTAAATAACCATATTTTGTGGGCACTTTCAGGATGTCTGCTGCTAACATACGTTATGATTTCAGTGTGATGAAAGATACTTCACACTGAAAATTTCTTCAAGCACAAATAAATTTTTGGCAACCTCTGAATGCAAACACTTTAACTCGTCAGAGTCATACTACTAACATCTAGCGAACTTCTGCTGCTATCTGGAAAGACTCAGAGATAAATATCCAATAATTCTTCCAAAGCTATGCATCATGATCAATCCTTCCCTCCCCAGATAGGAGAAATCACCGGAATGAAGTCAACAAACATTAAGTATGGAATGACTGTGAAGTTATGAACAGTCAGTCTCCGAAGACTGTTGGCTGTTTTAAATAGAACATAAAATCTACAGAGACAACGGTATACTCGATGCCTTCTATGTTACATAAAATTTCAAGGTTTTCGGATTCAAGATTCTCCATTGCTGCATATACGTCCACTCCTTTGTTTCACAGCACATTGATTTCATTGCAGCTCATCTAATAAAGAAGCTTACCCGTCTGACATCTGCGGTAGTAAACCCATTTGTATGGCATGATTCACAAACTGTCCTCGAAATGACATCCCGCTTGAAGCAGCTCCAGTATGACTAGAGAGAGGTCCACCATTTGGTCCAAGTGGTGCCATTGGATAATGATCTGAAATATGATAATTGAACATCTTCATAAAATAAAGATACAATTTTCTTCAAATAAATTTCTGAATTTATGGAAAAAAATACAGTGGTTGGAAAAAGTGTAATTTCTAACTTCTCAATGATTAAGCGAGAAGAAATTCTGAAATAACTTCGCAGAACTGACACAAGTAATTTAACAAATTAACTTCTGGTAGGTAAAGGAACTCTGAACTACAGGTATGAAACATGAAAAATAGATGATAGCTAAAAACATGTTTTGTTCACGCAAAAAGTTATTTAACATCTCAAACACAATTTCGATCCCATAGAGGAAAATCTATGCTTTAACAACTGTATACTCCTGTTTTAAATTGATTTACATTTCTACCAGAATTGCTTGGCCGTTCAATACTCGTAACCTGGTAGGAGCATGAACATATGCCACACTGACGCTGCATAACCTCCACAAAAAGATCAACATATCAACCGTCAGACTATTCCAATTGTACTGTTCGCCAGTTTGCCTTCTGAGCTATTTAGATTCAGTTAGCAAGACTGAAGCCTCGTTTGCTTTGCATGATGTGATGTAATGCTTAAGTTGGATTTATTGACAGATTTATATTCTTTATCCTTAAAAATATTAAAAAAATTTTAAAAATTCACAATCCCAGCACTTACTTCTGAAAAGCCTACAAGTTCCCAGTTTGTTAAAGGCACATTCCATGTAACATCTGTACCAATGCTATGCTAGAGTCGGAAGTATTACCCTGTCCAATGATAAGTATTTGTTTAGGTAACGATATGACTGACGTCGGTTACTCTAAATGGTATTCAGATAAATAAATCCGAAAAATAGCGCCTGAAGCAAGTCATAAAAATATTTCAGTGACTGTAAGTAACAGATGGCCAAAATGAAGGAAACAGATACGGTGGAAACAGAAACCTGGTGTTATAGCATTCTGTGGACGCGGACATAGGGCTGGTGAAGGCACTGCGGAAGATGAAGCGACCATATGTGAATACACAGCTCGACCGGCCACAGGCTTTAGCTGGGCCGGCTGTAGCAACGGTGATGCAATTGCCACGGCGGAATTTGGTTCAGAATTGCTATTTTACAATGTATGGGTGCTTCTCCTGCAATGTACAAATGTTCAGTGGTGGATATTACAGCTGTAAGTAAGGAACGCTTGAAAACAAACCACTCTCAGGTCCGTTAATAATATCTAATTTCCTAGAATTTACGCATTTTAAGAGGTACAACACGGTTCAACATTGCAGCAAGTACAGTGCCGATAAAAAATGGACAAAAATTAAGATCAAGGGATAAGACTTTACCAGCAGTAAACATTTTTAAGCATCCTTATAATCGACAACCGATGTAAATTGCGATAGAAAACATTGTCACAGTTTGTAAGACATGGACATGCAACATTAACAGTAAATGAAATAAAATGATATCACTAATAATTAGGGGAAAAGTTTTGTACAAAGTAGAATGATGCTGCGCCTTTTTGCTGGTAAAAGAAACTGAATTTCGGAAAAAAATGACGCCAGTTGCTTCTGCTTATGCTACTCCTACCTATTGAAACACGGACCGAAAGAATTATGCTGGATGTTAACACTACTCTTGTTATCCCATCCTTCGTTCTTCGTCTGTATTAAAATCCGATGAAGAATTTGAGCGCAAATAAAGCATTTATTTCTGTTCGGTTACCAGACCACTCTCTTACTTCGCTGCTACTACTGTCAGAAAATTTTAATGTTTCCCATCAGTAATTTATCCGAATTCGCAATACCTTTAATCCATCGATTGGGAACCACCCAATTCCACTCCGGGATTTTCTGAGAAACTGCTGTACAAGGAAAAATTATGGCTCCATTAAATCAGTTAAATGGAATGATGGAGGAAAACAAAGCGACAAGATGGATATCTCGGAAATATGGTGGAATACAACGAATTCCGCAGCACTATAATGTGAACGTAGTAGTCTTAGTTATAATTAGTGGGTACTTTTAAGAAAAGGCGTTTGGCAGGTAGTTGCATGCCGCAATCATTTATAAGTACCACCAAAGAATAAAGGTTACTTCAGATTTCAATGATTTATGGTCTGTGTTTAGCCTCAGATTCTACTTCAGAGAACACCGTTATTGGATTTCGAAGGGACCATGAATCTTTTAGGTGGACTCGTAGTATGATCACACATTTCAAGAAGCCTTATAAGCGAGAATCGAAAATTAATTCTGAAGTAATCTCCTAGTTTAGACCTCATTTACGTTTCTGATCGCTGCAAATGACTGAATGAAAAGGTAAGCAATATATCCTGAAAAATCGCTCTGTTATTCGTACACTGTTCACACTGTCACCAAATATGAAAAAATGTGATATCAGCTACCGAAAGTCTTTTTCCTTTACACCCTACCATCTTAAATATAAATGTGCAGTATGCGCTATTCTTGTGGTGACCAATAGAGTAGCCTTCCATCTTTTTTAATTGGAAGTGTATGAGCTTCAACTTTCATCCGCAGCAGCAATCCAGAACAAACCTTTATTCTCTCGAAATCCGCAATTACCTCATGAAGATTGCTAGTCGTACGTTATGTTCTGAAAAAGGTCTGGAGGCAACAATAATAACAGTATAACAGTAATGTCATTGCATCACCCCTCCCATCTGCAGCATTCTTTTATGAACAGACTATGCACAAATTGATAATCATCCTACACAACACTAACGTTCGTAAAGAATGAGACAAATTATTTAATTTTATAAGAATACAACAGACAACAGAAGAAGCCAAACAAAATAGATCGAAAAAACTGATGCTCGTCTGGATGGATGATGTCTGTAAATGAAGTATTCTGAGTCAGCATATGAAGCAAATAGTGAATCTAAATTGGAACCGTGCGAATAAAAAGATGGATGAGAAATGGTGAAACATGGAAAAATAGCCAAAGTACATTGAATGTATTGAAAAGGATGAAGAAAATCAACGCAAGATCATTTAATAGTTCCAATGAACACTGGACTGATTGACAGATCTTTCAAATTGTGCTTCCATTTTGGGGAATGTCTCCTTCCAAGAGTGAGATCAGTGCGAGGTTTCGTTAAAATACTCTTCCCACACACATATATACATACATGCATACATTCACGTACGCACACACACACAACACACACACACACACATACACACACACACACACACACACACACACACACAGTTTCACGCTATACAGAGAACACCCTTCTATACAGCCTTTAACTTGCGCCACAATCCACACAAGTAAAAAAACTTCTGAGCCATAAGCATTATCATCCAATGCAAACACATTTTCGCGACAAAACATATGATGTAAACAACATTAACATAAAAGATTAGGTAGACCCATATATTGAGGATACGATGACACCCATTTATAGATAGATATCTTCTGTGCGACACATGCCACAAACAAGCACGTATTCACTGCATGTTTACATGCAACTCAGTATCAAATAAATGCAATGATTTATATGCTATGAAGTGTTAATCTTGACGGATGTGAAATAGATCGAGCATAGTCCTTGCAATTTTTCTAGAAATCTGTAAGGTACTTCTGCAGTCAAGAACACAAAGTCAAAACGATCCGATAATAACAACGTACTTTGTCCTGGCAACAATATTTAAGTTGAAACCTACAAGCCAATAAAGAGCCATAAAAGATATAGGTTTACTTCTATTCCTATCCCACTTTCTATTACTTCTATCACACGGTTTACTTCTATCACTTCCGATAGTTGAGTACTTTCCACTTTGGAAATATCAGCCAGTAGTGCAGAATTGATTGTGACAGATCAGCAACAATAAGCATTAAAAGGTTTCCGAATTACTGGACAGTGAAAAGTATTGAAAGAACAAAGCCATCACTATCTCATACCGAAAGGTGTTATTTATATACACATAAATGTATAAAAAGAATAAGAAAGGTAGAAAGGCTTTGTGAGTAATGAAGGATAAAGCAACACATAATGGTCGTATATAGTTAGGGGAATATCAATTAGCAGCCTAGTTGTACCCTATAAAAGCTTAATACTGCAGTATTTATTACTACAAGTTATCCTCAAGGGAGTCTTTCATAAATGAATGTCGCTGTAATTAACCGGCGCGACCCCATGTCCTACTTCTCTTCGGCACCTTCCCAGAAACTTCTTAACCAGTCTCCCCACTGCATATGTCATTTTGACATCGGAACAGTGACAATTATTGATGGAGAAGCATAGAATGACGGCATTATCCCCGTCACCATTACTGTTAGTACTGGCTCACAGCCTTCTAATCCGGTAATATTTCAATTAAGAGCTCTACTTCTCAATCTCCCTCCCTTCTCTTCCTCCCATTTGTGTAAACAGGAATGACGAAAAAAAAAAAAGACGGAACAAATCACTAAGATTCATCCGTCAAAATTTAGGAAAAGTAAGCGAAACTTGAGTGCCATTATAGGTAAACTAAGACTCGAAGAATATAGTGCATGTTTAGGATTGCGAAAAAAAGTAAATCAAATCGTGACGATTAGTTTAGCCCAGAATTGCACTGTGATGTCTGTTGGCGCCTGTGAAAGATGATACATCGATTTCGTCGAGCGAAAAATAAACCGTGCAATATAAAATGAATAAGGAGGTAAGATAGACAGATACAAAGGAAGTCGCGGGCGGTGAAATTTGAGGTCAGATAAGGCGAACACAGCCAGAACATCCAGGCAAATATTACTCATCTCCTTTCCAAGTATAGGCATAAAAAAAATATGGTTAAAAAAGTTACAAGTTGAGCACTAAGCTTCAGCTAGTCCGAACTAGGAAACAGTAATATAACTACGGCAATGACTATGTATCAGGAACAAAAAATAGAAAGGGAGAGAGAAGCAATACGAGAGACATTTAACCTGATGGCTCGAACGCATCACTTGCAAAAGTAATTTCTTAGAAAAAAAAAAAGAAAAAACATGAAAAGAGAAATGAAATTGGCTGAATAAGAGAACAAGAAAAGAAGAGTACATTGCGGTGCAATAGGAACAATTTTCGTTTCTGTTTGACTTCATCTTCAAAAAATGCTAGTTATATCATCGGCTCTTCTTGAACCATCTTCATCTCATCTTTTTTATTTATCCCGTCCGTCCCACCATTCTTCCTTTCCGGTACGGAAATATTACAGCTTTCTGACCTCACCGCCATTAGATCACATCACATCATTCCGATTACCACACAGTTATTTACATCATCAAAAAAACATTATCGACTATTTCCATTATCAGATTTTATTCTCAAATTTATCCATGCAGAATATCAGTGCCATCATATGAAAAACAAAAAGAAACCTTGAAGATTTTCAATACTTTATCACTTTATCCCAACATGCAAAACAATAGTTTGAAAAACACGAAGCCACACTTTTCCGATTGTAAAGATTTATAACAATAACTGCTGACTGCGATTTATTTACCTATTTCTCGAAAATTGTCAAGATAAAATAAAATTTTATAAGGTTATTGCTTAAAAGATATTATAAAGGGAAACGCAGAGCTGGAAATCAATTTTCTAATCAAATTTTGGAATGATCAATCCTCATCATCTTCTTTAAGACAGTAATTTTATAAAATATGCAACAGAAACGAAAACACAAAATTCTGAGCTTAGATTTGGAAATTTCAAGAAGCTATAATTCTCATATTAATAAATAAATTTATGATGGGACACAGAAAGGCGTTGCACACAATTGGAACTTCGGTGTCAATGTGCCACACTGTATTCTTCAAAGGACGAATTCTTCGTTTGCTTTTTGCCTGCCATCAAGATTTGAAGAGAAAAAATAAATTCTGCAATGCAGAAAAATCAGATGAATGCACTTTTTGAAAAGCACACTGTCAATTATCGTACATCTAATATGTATAATGGAAAAGTCACTAAATGAAATGAAAACAGTTCTCAATTGTTTCTAGAGAAACGAAGAACTTAAAATCTTAAAAGCAGTTACATCCGATCATGAAAATACTCGGCAAAATACCGTATTCCAATCTTCCAACCTTCAATTTTTACAGCTCAATCAAGCTGCAAGAAATGGTACTCCTAGCCAGATGACAATGAATCCTCAACCTCATCCAGGAGCCAAATATTCCAAAGCTTTCATGTCATAATTGTTTTGAAATGAACTGGCTTCTTAATGTGCGGCCTCAAAGTAAAGCCACATAATTTCTATAATATCTTTTCACAATTTCTATAATTTAATAATTTATAGAAATGCTGTGGAGGTCTTTGTTTTTGCTTCGCAATCACTTTTCCTGTCGGATTTCTGGCAACAAAAAGTAACCGAAAGAGGGATGAACGACATTAAAAACCGCTCGGCAGTTTAATCAAATATATAGAATAATGTGGGCCATATTAGCATAATCATTCACAAGGATTTTTAAAAATTTTTCTTGCTCCTTCAAATTCCATTTCTCTTTATTAGTAGTAACTCTTCAATTTCAATTTCTACAGAACCCAACTTATATACTACTGCGGAACAAGTGAAAAATGAACGGTAGCACCTGCAATGAACTGGCGACTTTCCGTAAATGAATGTTCTTTCCAGATCGAATGTTCTTTCCAAATCGGGTGTATAAAGAACATACCACAAAGCTCGAAGTGAATAATACATCAAACTTTGAGAAAAGTTAGGTGGAATTTCTGCCATTATCCCATCTATTTCAAGAGAATGTCCACATTCTTCTTTTATTTGTCCATTTCTTTTGGAAGCAACGTGACTTAAAAGACAATGTAGAACTAATCATCAAATGTCGGAGTAGATTTCTGGGTGGAAATAGCAAAATTTCGAAATTATAAATTGAAAGATCACCAAAATTCATGGATAAGGTGCAAATTATCTTGAATTAAACTATTTACGTTGCTAATCACAATGAGGCCGACTTTCACAATTGATTGATTGATAAGTGTAGTGCAGCCTGTCCTAGATTGCTCGTTCTGCAGTCATCATTAAAATATTAGCACCTGCGAATTTAAAAAGTAATTCCAAAAATCAGAACGAGCAATCTAAACGGCTTTTAGAACCTACTGAATATTTCAGAATAAAAATTACAAATCAGATTAATATTATATCTCAAGCTTGAAAGAAACCAATAAAAAAGGATGACGAGGAGAGAAATGGGAATGAAATCGCGTCAGGTGGTAAATAAAACTTCAACGTCAAAAGAGAGTGAACGATGCAGGAAGTTTAACTCTGCGTAAATCCGTCAAGCCTGTCAGCTTCACTAATTATATATAACGCTGTTGCAGGGCTAGAAAAATACAGTAATGGATTAGAAAAAAAATGCAATAACAACAAACGTGAGAATATGACAATCATCTTGAGAAATGCCTACCTGTTTCATCCTTCGAACACAGCTATCTATCCATCGGATCTCTCAATTCAGATATAAGTGCACATATATCGGAAATGATTGATGAATATACCGTGTAAACATGCAACAGAAAGGACGATTACAGTTTGCAAAAATTCAAAAGTTTGTGCACATATTGGAAGAAAAAGATTGTCAGTTGGGCAAAGTGTTACAGGGAGTAGCGGTTAGCCTGCCTAACAGATGGTACACAGATCACAATGAATGTGTGGCAATGAAAAAGAGAAGTGCGTTCCATCCAACAATGAATCTTTTAGGGGTGCCGCAAAATTGCCTGTCCAAATTGGATGGTTTTCGAATAATGGGTTTCGGAGGCACAAACAGAGGCGCTCTCATATACGTACATTTCTAAATTTATATATATTGCCAAGCAAGCAATATATTTGCTATTCGCGATGCAAGCCAAACACAACCATACATGCAGTTTCACGCATCCATACATTCCACAACAACCCATGCACCTACTATATATATATATATATATATATGCTGATACTTAAGTTGCAGTCATTAAAAAGACAAAAACAAGTCAATGAAAGTTGTATTAGTAAATAACAAGCAATAAAGCCTCAAACAGCTTCAATGAGTAGCCTTACCAAGCAGACAACTAATCAGCTTAGTTTGTCCCATCAAATCCACATCTCACTTTCCTGCAAATATTAAAGACAAATGAAAATCCAGATTTGAGCTATGGGCGGTTGACATCAGAAAAGTCAGTACACATACACACATACATACATACATACATACATATACATACATATACATACACATATACATACATACACACAGACCCACACACTAGGGCACTAGAAGCAACTATCCGCTTTTTCCTGCAATCAGCGATATCAGTTCCAGCTGAGGCATCCCAGACATCTCAGATAACATTATGCTACCGACTAAACTTATGTAGGCGTTTTTCGTCAAGCAGAAATAATTTGAAGTATAAGAATTCGCTCCAATCCTTTAAACTCATCGCAGTCTTACTTGGCTGAATCCTCCAGCCTCTGTGAAACTCTGAAATGCCGAGTTCGAGATGTTGTGGAAGAACACCAGGAAAGGAGAAGAGATAAAGTCTGTCACACTTGAATATATTTGGCTGAAAATTATGCTTCAGATTAAATAGTGAGAGAGGATGGGAGAGGAGAAAGGTTCCACAGGTACGGAAAGTTTATAAAATAGATCTCGTACCCTATCGGATGGAGTCTAAATTCCCTAGAACTTTCTCTAACATCTATTTGATGGGAAATGCAAAATAAGCTCTAAGTCTTATTTCATATACTGCAGTGTACATTCCATGGTATTTTTTCATTCTACTACACAATGAATGGAATATTCAACAAAGGAGCTATCACCTAATGATAATCATCGGCAAATCTTTTTTTCATACCCACAATGCGGATGGGATCAGGCAAATCGTTCTTTACCTGCTGTTAAAGTGTTAAAATTTTTGAAACAGAAGTTCACGATTTCTAGCCTATGCTGCTGCTATTTTCAAATTATTGGATTTCCACTTTAAATAAAAGTTATGTAATAAGACAAGATGGAAGAATCGTAGAAGACAAAATGATACACTCAAATAGGAATTATGATTCCAAAACATGTGAATATGCATCTTTGAGAAATTCCAGTCTAATTTACCAAAACAAGCCGAAAAACAATAATCAGTTTGAAGTGACTATAAAGTAGAGGCTATTTTAATTACGGTCAAAGGAAGATCTGTACAGCAGATTCTGAACAAAACAATGGGGATTAATAGTTCTAGTGCCTCGAGACAGGTCAATATTTTATCATTCACAAGTAAAAATTTATTGGACAAAGTGTCCAGATTCAGACAACAGCCGATTGACAGCAACTTATTCCGTCCTCCTTTCTCTCGCTTCTATACAAGAGAAAATTTGACGAGAAAAACATACTGTGAAATTATCAGACCTCACCGACTTTCTCTTTTCGTTTTAAAATGATTAGATTTATCTTGGGTGACTACTATATATATCACGAGGAACTTGGAAACTATTCAAGAAGAAATAATTTATATACTGAATTTAAATATTTTAGTAATAAAAACCTTTGTAATCGAAAGTATTTTTTGCTAAAATGCTCGTGTCGATGAAGAGCAAGCTAAAAAGAATAGGAAATATCGTGTAATAAGAAGAAAAAGTACGTTTTATGGTTAGAAGCAGTTTCTCAAGTATATGAAGTATGATTTCAAAAGACATCCGCATTATCAAAAACTTCCAAATCCCAGGGTCGAGTATTAAGCTAAAAATTGTGTTGTGTGGTCTTTCTCCTTTCTTTTTCCTTTTAATTAAATTAAAATCACGGGGGCTTTTTAGAAGGATTACTTATTCTTTTCTTCCAGAGAATTTGCAGGGAAATTAGTTCCGACTGGGATATAGTAAAATACAGGTAAGAACCGATGTTCACTAAGTTCAAAAAATGTTTTTAAAAAAGTAAAACGAAATTCAAAATGACAATAATTCCCTGCGACCATCCAAAAAATTGTAAGGTTCAGTGTAGCTGAAACATGTAACCAAGACATTTAAATCCGCAAGGCATTAGCGTAAGTCAAGAACTTCTACTCTCCAAAAATCACCATCCTACGATACTTAAGCACAGACTCCGCAGTAACAGTTCCTAATAATGTGAAAACAGTTATGTTAAGCGAAAGAGCGAACTGCTATATACAAATTATCGCAACACTCCAAATATTTGATTTCATAAGGACTATATTTTTAATGAAAAAAAATCGATGCAGTGATAAGGAGAAGCAATTATAAAACCAACAAAGTCTTCTGTTAGGTATGGGTGACCTAAGCGACTAGCTATCTTCATTATCGCAAAATACCCGCTAGTCACCTGCTCAGAAAACAGACAAGTCGTTTATGCAGAACTATTCGTTCACCACGATAGAGTTCAATCGACTGTAGGATATCTCCGATAGGTAGCATTCACTTTCCACACGACTACATTGAACGCTTGCAGCTAACCCAAAAACCGAAGTGCTGTTCAGTTTTGAGTAATAAGGCTATAACAACTTCTCATATTTTCAAAATCAATCTGAAATAATCTAACAGACTACTAAGTGCCACAAAAATGATATGAATACTCAAGGAATAGCATTTTATCATTTCTTTAAAAATATTTGCATAAAATTCGATCTGGACGTCTGATGCTTTAATGCATAGAAGCTACAAAAATATTTCTCAAAATTCCATGAAGCCTGACGAGAAACCGCGCAGTGCTGAACGAACAACGTTAGGCAATCTTAATCTCAAAAACTATTTCGTTACGCATTCCGTACACCTATAAATCACCTCATCATTTTACGGTTCAGTTAACTGTCAGTGATAACGAAGAAAATTTCGTGTTTAACTTCCACCGACTTAGTCCAATTAATTTACTGCATAGACAACACAAGCAGCCCATATGGAGCGCGCAATATACAGAGGGTGGAAGAATAATAAAATTTAACATACACCTGAGAAAGCAGCATATTACTTTGAGAGAGACAGAGATTGTTGGTGTTGGCGAAATAGAACGAGGCGAGAATTAGAAATAGGGGGTGATTGAAAGTTTTGCTTACTGTCTGGAATCAGTGCCGTCTGAATTACAGGTAGGTTAATTGGGGGAAAGGTTGTGTGGAGAATTATTAATAGCGGAAATTTGCAGCATAAAAAGAGTTGGAGAGGTAATGGACATTTAATGGTACTTGCAGTCGAACGTGATCCCAGCTAGAATGGATGTCGTTGATGGACAAATTATCGACACACTTTGTCGCCTTGACCCGTTCGTTTTTCTTGTCGAAATTGTTTTTGTTCTTATGAGAAATATCATTCATGAATTCACCAATGTCATGATTTCAGGAGCTTTTTTGATGGCCTGCAAGAGATTCCAAGCAGTATAGCAGAGCTTGATACAAAAACTTTTTATCAAGCTATTGTAATGTTAGTATGGTCATGTAAACCGAGTACTAGGTAACATCTGTTATTAATTAATTACACAATAAAAGCTTGGCTCGATAGCGTGCAGTAAAGCTGAAGGAAGAAAATTCATTACAGGAAGGAAATTCCATCAAGATTGCTCCCCCAAAATATGTCTGCGAAATTCCGATGTGTTACAACTGTTGTCGACGCAGTGAAGGCAAATTTCAGTTTTATTTGTACATTGATATAACTCAAGCAAATTTTGGCTTCAGCTTAAGCTTAAACTTTTTTTTTCAAGTAAAGATGAATGGAACAAAAATTTCGGATTGAAACTGGATTCAGTAAAAACCTTTTTCTTGTTGGGACTGTTAACTGCAGAGCATTGGTGTGCGTGATCCCATAGATTATCATATGTTACTTTATGGACGAAGCAAGGAGCTACGTAATATTCTTATTGGTCTCATGGAAAAATTACCCAAGGATTCTCCTGTGGTTACTTCTGCGGAAGGCATGTCTTGTGAAATAATTCTTGTTTTACGTCAGAGTGCACGTTTTAAAATTTTCCATCTCAAAGAATTTATTGAAAGTTGGGCTTTCTAAGTTTTTAAATGCCCTTTTTCTCGCTCGATGATTTGAATAAGAGTTACAGATCCATTAGTAGACCTAATACGATCAGCTAATCGTGAAGAGAGAGATAAAGAAGGATGTCTTAAATGGCATAGTTCAGCTCAGAAAGAAACATGGGTAAGTATAACGATGCATATAAATTTTCGTGTTTTACAGTGATGACAAATTTCCTAAATGTACTTGTTTTTAGAATAGCTTTTCTTTTGCTTTTTAGAAAATGATTTAGGCTTTATCGACAAGGGTCGACTTCATAGGTTTCTGTGGCGATGTTATGGCAGCTTTACATTATGATAATTGGCAACACCGTAACAGTGCATTTATTTGTTCCTTGTTGGAAAACAATGCCGTGAACAATAGTAGAGCACAAAATTGCCAATCAGTTAGAGATGAAATTTTAGAAATTCTGCATTTTGGGCGTCCCATCATTAACAAGGAAATAAAACCACAGTGAGTTTGCTTCGATTTTTTAATAACGTGTCTTTAATTTTCTCAAGCCTCTGGAATTTATTCCTCTCATTGCAATTAAAGATACCCTGTAATTGTGGGACGTCTATCGAGTCGTTGCAGTATTTTTCAGACTGAAACCTAAACCAATTCTTCATCCAGAATTACGAAAGAAAAGAAAAACAAGAGATGGACAAGAAATTAATGAAATTGGGAAAAGTGAAATACTTGACAAAGTACTCAATGAAATTGTGGCTTTGGCAGCATATATAGATCGTAAGAAGATTTCCAAGAGCAAGGTTTAAGCTGTGTATATGTCCTCTTACTATTAGTAGATCTTCTCTTCAGCAGTAATGACTCTTTTTATGTGTTTTGTGATGACTCTGGAAGAATGTTGATTTGAATGAAGTTCAGTTTGTTACAGATGCAAAATGATGAGACTGAACGATTATTAGCTTTACAAAACAAGAGGTTTCAAGAGGCTGAAATTGATGAACGACTGAAAAAACTACTTGGAAATCCGAATGCCCTTTTGAAACTTGAGGTTTATTTTACACATTTGTAGTTCTGATTGGAGTGCATTTTTGAAGTAAAAGTAGATGATTAGAAGATGTAAAAGTCGGGTTGCTGCGTCGTTTTTTTAAACGTACATTTCCAGACTTATATCGATGGAAGTAGTGAACGGATGCAGCATTTTCAAAATCTGTGGCTGAGAGCCAAAGCAGAAAAAGATGACGAAGTGAAGACAGCACGACTAACTGCATTATCGTCAGTACGTCAAACGTTATATTGCTGACTCAGTAAATAGCTAATCTAAATTTCTTTCATGAATATAAAAGTTAAACTGAGATTGTTCTAGGGCTTTACCCTTCCGTGTTGCAGTCAAGAAACTTCAGTAAAGGACACAAAACTGGTTGAGAACGAAGTTGCTGGTAAAAAGAAAATCCTGACAAAATTGGTTTGTTTTAGACTATATTGAAGCAGGTTCATTTTATATACCATTAATGATATACCATTTATATACCATTTATATACCATTAGTATATACCATTTTATATAGCATTAGTGTTCATTTTATATACCATTAGTTTATATACCATTTTGGACCAGTTTTATTAATTTTTTTCCTTTTTTTTCAGAGAAAAGAAGTCGAGTCACGGAAAGAGAAGCAGATTAATCGAAGTATTTATACAAAGCACATATTTGACATTGTTGGCAACATTAGGAAGCAGCAAAATGAAATTAACAAGGTATGTTCAAGTAATATAGTATAAATATTTAGTGTTGTCGCATATTTATTACATCCAGAGCTACGCATATTTGAAATGGAAAAGCATTTATGAATTTGAAAGACTGAAAAATTCAACCAGTCTAAAATTGTTATATTGCTTATTTTGATACATTCTCCGAATTTGTAGGTTGCCGTTGAAAATCTCTCTCTTCAGAAAGAAATCAAGTCAAAAGCGGGGAAACTGGAGCGTTCTTTCACTGTAGTTGAAGGAAAGCTGTACAAAGTATTTGTTTTATTATTTACCCACTAAGTCGCCTGATATAGTAATTATTGCCTGATTGTAATTAGAATCGCCTGTGGTGCACCTGTGAATGCATATTTCAGTTATTAGATTTCTTTATTGTGGTATTATTTGAGAACTTGTATCTGTACATTACAGGACGTTGAGAAAGATGCATCTATGCAAAAAGCATATAGGTTACTGATGAAAATCCATGGTGAATGTTCTTGTGTTATCACTGGCATCGATTCTGCTGGACAACTTGAACGAGAAATTGAAGAGCTAAATGATCAGGTAGGGTTATTATTTCACATAATTCCTTTAAAATTAGTTATCATTTTTTTTAAAACGATCCGTAGTGTTGTTAATTTTACGGAAGTTGGAAAAATGCTTAGCTGTTCCGCTAAATATCATCAGTTCATGATTTATAACCTTTTTGTTCAAGATTGGTATGCAATATCAAAGGAACACTGATGAAAAACTTGAAAGTATTGTTAACGATTGGATGGAGATAAAGAAAGAAAATATGGCTTTGAAGGAATTATTAAAAGAGTGCGATAATTAATTGACTAATTATTTTTTGTTATATAACATACTTGGAGATTTATTTCACTTATGCAGCAAGAAAATCTATTACGTGATTGGCGTTCGAAATCATATATACCATTTGCTAATTATTTTGGTAGTAGTTCCTGCGAATATAGGTTCAAAAAAAAAAAAAGCTTTAGTCTTCTCAAGAATCGTGAGGGAAACTTGCGTTTCACTGTGGCATACGTTTATCAGAAGAGTTCTTTAGACAGTAAGAAAAAAAAAGGAAAGTAAAATGGAACCTAAAAACATTTCAGACTACAAAATTTTGATGCAAATGAAAATTACAAAAAGTCATCCCGGTCAAAGGAGCTCATTCCGAAGTTTGATGTTAACACAGTTAAAAGTACCATTCCATCATACAAGTGCTATGTCAGCATTGATGGTCTAACATAACCATTATGAAAAAAAAATGAAAAAAAAGTGCGGTATATTTATAAGGAAGCGAAAAAAATCCTTGTCCTGTACGTCAAAACCATTGCAATATATGTTGGACTGTGATGCTTCAAAATTCTCTGAGTAGGCGTTCTTAGAAATCTGAAAAGTATTTACGTTTTCAGAAGTTCAACCAAAATCCAACTCAATACCAACCTTCTAACGAGTTAAAGTGAAAGAACACTGAGTTCATAAAACAAACCAAGGAGGTGGTATCGTTCATTGGGTTTTGTGGTTAGGGTTAGTGCGTTTACTGTGATCTAGATCGTATAAACTGTCTAAGATAGTGCAGCAACTGCCACTTCAAATATCACTAATTTATTCAGCAATACTTCGGGTTACTTCATTAAACGCTTCTATTAAAATGAATTCATGTTCCGATTATAATGAAGGGATTCTTTAGTAATTTAATGGAACTTCCCGAGTGGGATATGCAAATTATTTATTTCTGAAATCTACTCTTGGTCGGAAGCAATCAATCAGATACCCTGTTTTTCGTCTCTTTCATGTTTTTTCAGTACCTGGCATAAAAATAGTGCAAACTGTAACCGTACAAAACTATAAAGAGGGAACTAGTCTAAAATATTGAATTGTAAACTGAGGGTGTAGTCAATTAAAAACTTAGAATAATATGAAAGTAAATTCTAGCGCGCTTTGACGGGAGAAATCGGCACACACAAGTTTTCTTTTAACTTAAGCCCTTTCGAGGCAAGCATTTCGATGCATATGAAATTCCAAGTAAAAAAGGATGATCTGACTCTTCTTATTCGGTAACTTCTTGTTTATCTTTATCGTTCACCTTCCGGTTCTTTTTTTTTCGAGCTATATTTTTGCGCCCACTTCGTTTAAAAAAATGAAGATGATTACACTCAGAAGAAGTAGTAGACTGACAGCTATTTACTAAGAAATAAAATATGAACGCATCTTTTCTCATTTCATCCGCCTGTCGTACGAAGTTTTATCTTTCGGTTATTCACAATCCATAAATATTCGGTAGACTTAGCTTTCCACTTTTTTTTCTGTGTCTGTATTAATTTCATTCACTTTGTATTATGTGCTTCTTCTGCTGATATCCGTAATGTGCGCAGTATAGAAATTAAATGTGACCATGGTCCGACAAAGTTTCAATTATCAAAAGTTACTTGATGTCACAAATTATTTGACAACTGGAAAAAAATATACTTTTTCAATTTAAAAAGGTACACATGAAATAAGGTCATTTTTGCACTTTAAAGATACGAGACAAATTTCTTTTGGTAAGATATTCGCGTCTTTTATTTGCCGAACTTACTACTTTTTGGAAAACCGTGGCCTATTTGGTTTTCTAAAAAGTCATAAATTCGAGCGAAAAAAGTTTCTTACTGCTTCTGCTGGTGCTATTGCTATTTTTGTTAAGAACAACAGACAGAAGGAACTAAGTTGTAAGATTTTGCAGAATATTTCAGAGTTCTGATTCTAAAATTTCCTCAGCGAATTCGGAATATTAAAGGAAAGATAACCAATATGACTATTAATAAGGTTTTGGTTGAACACATTCTTATCAAATAGGATTCAATAACTAATTGCTCTTAATTTATTTGGAAAGCGTTATTATCAACAAATATGTGGCGGCAAGCAGAAAGATTTAGAAGATATCGTTAATATCAAAAATGGATTAGCGAAATCATTTTTTACTTTCATTTTTGCTTTATTGAAATGGTTTCAGCGATGTTAGCTGCTTATTTTCATCATCATTCACCTTTTAAACTGCAGGAAGTTCACTAACTAAGCGAAGCAGTCGATAAGTTAACGTGAGCTTTGTTATTTTCCACCGATCCAATTCTCCAGCATGGCAGATGGAAAAGATTTCACTGTGAACAATAAAATGAATTGTTGAAGAGGAGGAAAGTGTTTTCTTTTTTCACGTGTTTTATGCTTGAACAATGAGAAAGATTCTTCCTGGATTTAGAATTTTTAACCTTTGAAAGGGAATCTCTGTTTTCCTTTTAACTTCTTTTTTTTTTTTTTTGTATTTATAGCAGCTTTGCAAGTAAAACATCCCTCATCAACATTAATTTTTCAATGTCGACATTGTTTTTGTGATAAAAATTACTCAAGAAGTTATTGAAAAAAGGTGATAAAAAAATGTTGAAATCTTGCAGGTAGAAGTCCAAGGTAAAAGAAAGGATTTGAGTAAATGTTATAAAGTTTCATTGAAATATTTTCATGAAAAAAACTGTTGGCGAATCATATATACCATTCTATTTTTAACACAAAGTTTAGTTTTATTTTGAACAGAACCGAATGATTTTCTTCACTATTGAATTTAACATAGGAATTTTGTGTATGGGAAAGGAAAGCATAAATTTCCATTTGTTCTAAGAATGCACGCATTTCTTTGATTATCCCTCTTAGATGGAACTCATTCTTAATATTTCATTTGTTGTGTTGCATTCTGCTGAGGTTTGTGTTCGCGAGGTGAACAGTGGCAGGATGAGGGAGAGATAGGCTGAAATAAGCAGAAGAGGTTGATGAATAAGAGGGCCTGAAAACTGGAATTGCTAGAATAACAACCAGCATATACATCTATAAATCATCATAGCACAAAGAAGCTAAATTCTACGGAAGCATATGTTTTTCTCTTTTGAGTTAATGCTTGTTTACTTGCTCTTGCACAACTATGCCTGGGTAGAATGGATTTAAGGGTCTAAAGTGAAGTGCCACATCTCAAATCTTCAGTTGGAGCATCAGCTTCCTTCCAACATTTCATACAACATTTCCTATCAGTTTTCCCTTTCTATTTTGCACATTTTGTACCAAAATATAAAATAAAAAAAAAAAACATTGTGATGACGCATGCCATAAAGATCAACCGATCGACATTTTTCCTTTACTATCCCGCTATCTGTTGCTAAACTGCCATCAATAATGATGTCCCAAACCTAATTCGAAAGATCTTGTCACTGAACTGTTTCTGTAAGCACATACAATATATGCTCACAACATAATAGTTAAAGAGATTTGTCAGTTTTCGAATTTGTCCCTTTCAATGTTGAATCAAGGTTATGCAAATTAATGATGATGGATTTTTTACTACCAGGAACACCTGATGAACCTTCAAACCCTGCCATGGCTTATTTACTGCTAACTCCAACTAATTATTCCCTGCCTTGGATTATAGGTTCAGTGATTAGCTTATGTTTCCTCGACTTTTTGCAAATCCAGTCTAACTTCTTTTATATCCTCTTCCTCGTACCTTAATGAAACCTAGAAACTTTGCAAATCGAAATCCATAAATTATCTGTTCTCAAGCCAACATAAATCATTTTGTTGCCCATTTTGAAACAAATTACAAAGTGTTACATCTGTTATTTATTAGATTTTAATAAATCTCAGTTTTCAACTGATCAGGAATACCGGTACTAGTTTCTGCTAGTTGACTGCTGATTGTAGCTTGCACGAAAGTGGTGGAAAAGCGGTGTTTTCTCGCGTTTTGTATCTGGATAACACTCTCTCCTCATAGGTAACACTCTTTCTTCATGATAACACCTGTATTCAAACTCATATATTGCCGTTTTTTCGTCCAGTGAAAATAAAGGAAGCAATAAAAATAGAGAAACATTTCAAAACAATCTTGAGGATAACTAAGTTTCAGGTAAGAAATGCGCCCAGTGGTCACCCTACTGCTCTTATCGTTCATATCAAGGACAAGACAAGCCACCAATGCGAAAACATTGGATATCAACTGCATGTTTCTTGGATATCCAGAATTAGAATACGACGGGTTTGACCGAACTGAGGTTGGGCTGGCATTGAATTCTACTTCGTTTTGTTAAATATTTTACAAAAGAAAAGGGTAGTGCGCCCTCCCTTTCTACTAACCGTTTTTTCGTTCCGAAATCGGTTTACGACTTATCTTCAGATTTTGTCCTCCTGTTTCGCTTTTCCCTGTTCTTTTTTTTTTATCGTCTTATTTTCCCATAAGCTTTTTATATGCATTTCCGTTGTTTACTAGATGAGAATACATTTTTTTTTAAGTTGGCAATAAGTTACAAAATTCGAAACACTTCAAAGTTCGACTATTAAGAGGTTGAATTCAGGATAATTTTGGTAATTATGCTTGTAATTAACTATTTTCCTCTTCACTTTTAACTTCGTAGCTTAATGTTACCACATACGTTTGATATTCCGAAATAAAAGTATTTTTGTGTTTTCAGGTTTTAAATGAAAAAAATTTCAACAAAACGGTGCTTGCAAGCGACTCGAGAACAATCGTCTTTTTCAACGACGTTGAAGAGGACGATCCCGAATTGGATCAATATGAATGTTTTTTGCAAGTATATTTGTGCTTTTATCTTTCAAAATTTATTTTTATTACCCACTTATTTTTCAGGAAATTTAAATTAAATGGGGTATTTATATCCACTGCAACAAATTAAAATCACTTGGACAATGTTTTAAGTAAATCTTTAAAAAGTATCAATATGAATTTTTTTTATACGTTACTTAGTAATCACAAATTTTCCAGTTATCGGCTCAAATAATGACCAAACGAGGGTACAG